AGAAAGCAAAATAATCTTAGTTGTATCTTTGATCCATGAGAAACTTAATTCTTTTATTTTGTAATCTTGTCTGTATCATTTTGTAAGTGATTTGACAGAGCATGAGGATGTGCAAGATTAAATGAGACACATGATGTGTGAGAGGCTAACTCATAAGTACCAAATTTGATTAACTTTAAACAGGAAACAATAGAATTAGAGGCAAAAGATAAACAGAAATTCATTTTGTAACAGATGAAAATTTAAAATCCTGGAATCAAATTCTATATTTATTGGCAACATTCTAAGAAACATGCAACCAAGAGTGTACAGATATCTGCTTGCTACTCTTAGAGACTTGGGTTCAGATCAAGGTTGTTAAAATCTTAAAAGTTTTAGGTGTCTTGACCCAGGTTGTCATAGGTGTCTTGACCCAGATATGTTGGGTCAAGCTACTTATTTCCAACCTAATCAACCTAGTGTGGTTCTGGTAAAACCTATAAAGTAGTTGATTGGTTAACAAACAAATTGGATAATGAACACTTTTGCAAAAGATTTTTATGTTCAAATAACAAACACCTCACAGAACAAATACAAGAAGAAACAATGTAAAATAATGAATACCGATTGGTCTTCCCTTATCTTCAGGCAACAATTTGAAACTTTTCGAAGCGCAGGAGACATCAACATCAACTCTCAACCCAGTTTAAAGTGATTGGATAGCATTCCTCCAAACTTTGAAACTCTCCCTTGTAATTCCAGCCTTTTATATTTCTGATAGAAACAATTCTTTTATAGTATTTGCGAGACTGTCAGACAGGCATTCATTAAATTTTTGTATTGGTTTTTATTTTCGAAAGGTGAGATTATAATAGCAAAGGTAGAGAGTGGGCAGAAGATGTCCGATGTTGCTGGGCAGTATGGCTTGAACAGGTCTACAGTAGGCCACAGTTCAATCTTATTGAAGAAAGATACTGTATAATCAAGAAGACCCAAGCAGCTTAAAGAGTAACAAAAATCACATTAGAGAAATAAAGAACATTGAAGAGCTCATAATGGAAACTGAAACTGATCTGATGACAGAAGAATGCCAAGAAACTCAGCAAAATATGTTTTCTTATGAAAAAGAGAATTAATGCCAATATCTGCTATTAAAGATCTTTTGAAGAAGTAGGAGGATATCAGAACAACGGTCTTAGAATGGTATTCAAACCAGGTTGAGGTTAATAGGCTTAGGGATCTCTACAATTACAATGCTATTAATTACTTCTAAAAAATCCTGAAGAAGAGAGAAAAGCAATCGACATTAGACAGCTTCTTTAACCACACAAATGGAAAAAACATGACTAATAAAAAAAGAATAATAGTGATGTTAATGGATTTATGAAATAATATGTATAGACTAAATAAAGAATTTTAATTTTTATCATAATTACAATTGTGAAGCAGTCATTTAATAAAAATAAAAAATATAAATTCGACTTTACAAAGATAAAACTTTGCATTTTGTCCTTCCTTTTTGCCGTTCACACCATCAGCAGTCCTTAAATAATTCACATAATTTATTATGATTGTGTCATTAACACCAGAGGATGCTTTACCAGTTTTACATTCTTTTGCAGAGGCAGTAGCTTCAAAAGAAAGGTCATCTCCAAAGTTTTGTGGATTATTTAAGGGCTGCTGATGGTGTGAACAGTGAAAAGAAAGAACAAAATGCAAAGTTTTATCTTTGTAAAGTCGAATTTATATTTTTTATTTTTATTAAATGTGAATAACACCGGCCATGTACTCGTATTAGTTTTTTACTTAGAATTAATCAAATTCCCATAAAAACATATGGTAAATTGATAATCAGTTAAACAATTCGGATAGTGAACAAAGTCTTGGAATGAATTATGTTCATTAACCGATCATCCACTGTAATTGTTAAAACAGTCTTCTCATTGCCCACAAGGTGGAAAAAACCTAAACTGTCTGTTTTCTAAGTACAGTACAGTTTGTTACATTTCACCAGTAGTAGTATTGACCTGAATAAAATTGTAATATCTATTTAAGTTAATGATATTGCTTTTATAAAATGTTTATTTTTGTACTTTCTCTTTTAATTTTGCTTAAACAGAAAAATTTCTTTGGCTTTTAAAATTCTTAGATAATTCAGGAAATTGTCTTTAAGAAACATATAAAATTACTATTAAATATTGAAAGTTTACCAAGCATTATACATTATAGATCTATTATGGCCTACTTTATAAAATCAATTGTCATATTTACATGTTAAACACTTGATGATATCTTGATGCATTCATCAATATAAATTCAGAATATATCTGGAAATATAGGTTAATATATTCTTTGTGTCTTTCTACCTTTAATAAGAAATGTTATAAATATATATAAATTATCCATTCTTACTTTAAAGAATGGCTAGCTCTTGTTGAATGCTTTGGTCCTCATCAGATCACAAGAGTTAAACAGCATGAGTTCCAGAGCTGTGAAGAGCTTATACAGAGCCAGTGAATAGACAAGCCCTTCTAGCCATTGTTCTTTTGAATAAATGAAATACAGAGAATGTTTCTTTATTCATAAAAACCAGTCTTAAAAATTTAATTTTCTGATAAGAATAACAATAAGTTTATAGGGGTAGGGACCATTATGAACCCAGGAAAGTCTTTGCTCCTTACCTCTCAATGGTCCTGCAGATAGTAATTTGATTGGAAATGAATGTAATATTAGGCACTGTTATTTACGCCCACCAAGAGCTTAATGGCTGTTGATAGTATAAACATCTGTCCAAAGTCCAGATAAAAAGAGAGGTTTGGCAAAAAACAAGAAAAAAGGGGGGAAATCTCATCATAAAATATAGCCAAACTTGGCTATTCCCTTTATAAGAAACAGCATCAGTCAGCCTATGTTAATATACAAATACAAAAGCTGATGCTTGCATTCAAATGACACTCAATTTCAGAAAAGTAAAGAATGATACATCAATGTGTTATATCTATTCAGAAAAGTTAATGTGTAATTTGTCCTCATCATCAGAAGCTTGCAAAAATACATACATACATATATATGTATATGTATTATTTCACAGTCGTAGTCATGGGGTCGCGTGTAGGATGAACAAGACAACAAGACAAAGAAAATTGAAAATTGGAGACCATAAAATAACACGTCGTTCACTTTAGGGTCCTCACTCAAACTCTATTTATTCTTTATTGGTGTTGTTAATCTCATTCCAAAAGGAACGAGATTAACAAAGTAAATTACAGAAAAATATATACAAAGTTTACAAAAATTTAAAATATGTTATATATATATATATACACATCTCTTTTCCTAGTACAAATATATCTTTTTGTTTTATTTTAGATGAAATTGTGTATTGTCTGGAGAATATTTACTGAATGATCTGTTTTTTTTTAAGTTTGTTTAACTACTAGAAAACAAAATTTATACATTAAATCTAGTAATTGTAAAAACACAATACCTTTAGTACTCTAAATTAAATTAAAAAATTACCTGTAAAATCATTAATTATACAGTCAATATATTAAAAAAACAAAAATAATCCATAGTTTAGTGATAAAACTTTTTTAATATAGTTTAATACAGAAGAGAATATATTGATTAAGGATCACTTCTGATCAATAAAATGAGAATATAATCCAAAAACATGACTGAATAAAGAATAAAGGTGTTGTTTTGCATAGATAATCAGATATCATTAGCATACATCACTTCCGGTTTATGTTTCATGAAAATTGCAGTGTTCATTCATTGGTTTACACATAACTTTAAGCAATTAATTAGTTTCTTCATTCAAGGAGCTAAATGTGATAAATTGTATCTATTGTAACAGCAAATCAGAAAGGATGACATGGAACTACTTCAACAGAGATAAATTAAAACATTCTTTACATGTAAAATATGCTACCTATCTATAATCAGTATTATACTTTGTATTACTGAAAGGCATGACCTGAATAAATAAACAGTGTAAAAAAGTAAATAATCCAAAGTAAATCATTGATTTTCTTTAATACTTTTTTACAAAAAGATTATCTGAATAAAATAATATATAGAGTAACAATAACATAAATAAATATATGAATGTAAAAAGCATAAAAGTGAAAGGTAGATAACAAAATGGGTCATTATCAATTTACATGTAAAACAGGTTTAAAGCATTAAAAATTATCATCTGTCAATTAAAATATCCATCTACAGAAGGTAAAAGCTAAGAATATTTAAAAGAAACCACCAAAAATCAAAACGATACTTATTGGTTAGCAGGGTGCCAGTCAATTGATGCGATCTAACTCTAACCTAAACCTAACCTACCCATTTGGGAAATCCTCTCTGAACCAATTATCAACCTAACACACACGAGTTGGATTGCATCAATTGACTGGCACCCTGCTAAGTGGAAAGTGCCATCAAAAATATGATTATTAATTAACCATAGAGATAGTATCTGAAGAACAACTAAAAATATATAAACTATTCTTTAGGATTTAATTAATAACTTCCATAGATAAACTTGCCAGCTTCCTAGACAAAAAAAAATATATTAGGAGTTAACTTGTTTGTAGTGTGTGTCTGGGAAACAATCCAGTGAAGAAAGAGGTCTGTTTCTTTGCCAAAACCAGTCTCTTCCCCAGCTACATAGCCTGTTTCTCAGTCAAGAAACCAGCTTGTTTGTGGTGTGTACGTAACTTGTGTATAGGAAACAACCAAGTACAGAAGAGGCTTGTTTCTCAGCCAAAAACCAGTCTCTTCCTGGCTATGTAGCCTGTTTCCTAGTCAGTAAACCAGCTTATATTATAGTGTATAGCTAGTATCAGAAAAACAACAACACAGTGAAGAAGCCTGTTTTTTCAGCCAAAAACAAGGTCTTGGTTTTTGCTAGCTATTTAGGATGTTTCCTAATAAAAAATTGGCTTATTCCTGGCTGGAAAAATAGATTATATATTGAATTACAGTACATACATTTTTTATGTACTAGTATACAAAAAATGTACCTCAAACTTCCTCTTATCTTGAAAGTCATCTTCATCCATTTGAAACAATCTCTTGTAAGATGAACTTAGAGCTTTCAATAAGTAAGATACATCATTAACATCACCCAATGTAGACTGCAAGCTGGAACCAAGATGATTTTCTTCAATTAAACAACCATTACAAGATTTTACTGAATTATTTCTGTTCTCATCAAGGTAATTGATGTTAGAATTGATGAAATCTCTCAGATCCATCTTAAATAGATTTATACAAGAAAGTCTGCTAATGCTTCCTCCTATAGATTACTTATAAACAGTTAATAAAAATTTAATGTCCTAAACTCTTAAAAAAAGCAATAAATATCTGAGAAATTCCTCGAATGATGAGACTTATCGTCAACAGATATTTCAACACGTCAACACTTTGACCCTCATATTAAACACCGTAGAAACTAACGCACTCTATCGGACGTCTGATCGATAGCAGACGATAATTTATCATCGCTTTACTTATATTTATTCGGAATAAATGTTATATAAATTACAGCAAATATTAAATTTAAATTAATTCCTTTCGTTAATGTTAGAAATTTTGTCAATTTATTATTTTACTGAACTTTGCAAAATATGTTTCTATCATAAGATATTAAATAGCAAATTACGTCTTAGTTTGAAAATTTAGCAGATATTAATCGAAAAGAATGCTAAATTTAAATTAATTCCTTTAGTTAATGTTAGAAATTTTGTCAATTTATTATTTTACTGAACTTTGCAAAATATGTTTCTATCATCTACATTAAATAAATAATACTTTGAAGTTGAGAATTAATATTTTTATCTAACCTTTGAACATATTCATAAAAGTTATTGTTGTTAGTTATTGCTAATGTATAATTCTGTTACTCATTAAGGGTTGTGCTAAAGTAGGGATAATTAAAGACCACTGGCCCTTAATTATCCCTACTTTAAACAAACAAATGATTAAAAATATGAAATGAGGGTTAAGGGATGCCAAGGAGAGTTCCTCCCGTGAGGAATTTATTATTTTTAATAAATTAATTTATCAATTTCAATTTCATGTAACTTTTGATTAAATACTAATCCGGGATTCACTAATTTGGCAGCTTGGATTCTTCAGGACACAAGTTAAGGCAGTGATTTGAATCTGGCGAGCATTAGTTTGCACGAATATCTCTTGGCCAGATATGTAGTGTTGCCAATGTGAAAAACTGAAATTATTCGTTTCTGTATGTCCGCATATCCAAAATTATTTAGAGCTACCTAATGTAAAGATTTAGAAAAATCTATTTTGAACACAGAAATGAGAAAAGGAGAGAAACAAGTGAGAGACGAGTTAACTTTTCTACAGAGTTGGAGAGAAGCACGATATTTCAATATAGCTTCTTTCAAGACAATGGACGTATGGGTACTTTTATGTGGAAACAACTAAGTAAACTTATAGCATAACCCATTCGATATGAAACTAACTCACGTAGCAGCTTGTTATTAGAACAGGCATTTTAAAACGTCTTGCCCTTATCCCCTATAAAATACAGTTCATTAGACACAAAAGTAAACAAGGAAAACAATGGTAGCAAAATTATTCCCAAGAAATAAGTAAAAGAGACTAAATTTAGGGTAAAATACACGAGAAATAGGATAGTTTTTAGAAGATATTATTGGTCAAAATGGAAATGGAGACCATTGACAAAGGTTTCAAAATTACCAAATAAATTTACATAGATGATTGGAAGCGAATAATATGAGCAAAGAATAAATCCCAAATTTTCACAATTAGAAACAGCACATTTTTGATCTAATGAACAAAATAATCTCTTGATCTTGGATTGAATTACAATATTCTTACCAATATAACCGCATCTCTTCCAAGGTATACAAAATTATAGATAGCAAAATGATAAATGCAATAGAATTTAATATCCGAATCCCTAATCCGTTCCATAATCCATTTCATAACCCAAACATTTATTATTTAAAATTTAATTGTTTTTATTCCGAAAAAATTCTATTGTATTCAGGTTACACTATGAAATTGGTATTCAAAATCTTCCGTTCCCACATTAGACAAATTTCAACTTATAACTGTATTTTACTTAGGAAAATTTCCGTTCCGGTAACTTTTCGTTTTACAGATACTCTTTTTTAGCTAGGATTTATTATAGTTATACAAAACTGATATAAAACTAATATAGAAAATTAGCACAAATACTTAGAGATATATATTAAGAATATTAGGATGAAGGTTGTAACTACGGTATAAAAAATTAGCGCTATTTCGATTAAACTGTTGCAGAACTCATAGTAGAGGAGTTTTTCTCAAACTTTTTACTCACGCTACTCAATGCATTTGTAATGATTCTGCCACCCAAATATTTTTAATATAAAATGTTTAAAACACCTTGTAAAGTGAAGTCACTGTATATTATATAACGAAATAAAATTATGCATTGTAGATAATAATTACTACATATGTGAAATGTAATATTGAGTACATTTCTATTAACAGTGGTTCTGGGCAATTTCGATTTGTAATAAATNATTTTTTAAATATAAATAATTTTCTTTTTATGTTCAAACAAGTTGAATTATTATTTTTGCATGGAATGTTCTGGCTTCTTGAATTTTTTAATTTTCTTAAAGTAATATAAAACGATTCCCAAAACAATAAAAATAACGGAAATTGATGCAAAACTTATCTGTAACGCATCGACCAATATGGCACCACCAGAACTTGTAAACACGCCTTCCAAATTAGAACTGCAGATTCCGTTTCTGTTTAAATCAATTAATTAAAAATTAATATATTTGAAATACATAAATTGCATCATTATTAAATATTACCTAGTACATATTCCTGTACTGTCGTTACACGGAGTGCCAGGGATAACAAAGTACGATTGCGTATATCTCTGTAAAAGGTCAAGGTCTTGACTGGACTGACACGTTCCATTAGCATTCATGCAGCACACGTGACATTCTTTACTAGGTGGACATTTGCAAGGATTTAAATTCTTTTCTTTGCATATATTTCTCATGCACTGTCCAAAATAACAGAAATGAGTCGGTTTAATGCATGGTGTTCCATCAGGAGAAACGATTTCGGGACATTGCGGAGAAACGCCATCACAAGTGGCAATAACCTGTCGACAATGTTTATAAACGAAACATATACGATTTTTTGATTTTGGCAGAATTTCGCATTCTTCCGTGCAACAGTCCGACTCACGAAAACTGCAAAATTCTCTTGATTTATTTTTAAGTTTGCATTCGTTGGGTGAGCCTTTAGGATTGCAACAAGGATCGATTATTTTGCATATTTTTTCTCGGCCACAATCGCATTCTTCTCCTATTTCCTTCATTCTATTGCCACACCTCGGTTTACTCTTTCCTTTAAGACAGCGCCCTGTTATAAACATTAAGTAAATTATTAAGTTCCATCAAATCGTAAATTCTAAGCGCCCTTTATTAATTAAATTAACATTACCTCCCGAGGCCGTGTTCCTCCGAAAGTTATATAGGCTGCACAAAGAAAACTTCCAGTTAAATAAATGAAAAGTACTCTCTGTTGCACCGTAAGGATACATAATGTAGTTTCTTTGTGTTCGATTTAAATCGCCAGGAGAGCATACGGAATGATTAAAAGGATCGTCGTCGCTTCCAAATGCGTGACCAATTTCATGAGTTAATGTATAACTTGCCTGAAGTCTGGAATATATTGTCTGTCCTCTTATATTTAAGATATTTACCACCGCAATGTTGACAGCAGAAAAACGTTGTAAACCTCTACAGTATCCATCTAATAATTAAAAAACACAAACAAAAACTTTAAAATATTAAAATGTTTTCAAGTTGTATGTATTAAAGCTTCTTGTCTCAATTAATTTTCACTAAAAGTATCTCATACACTATTTAGTGGAGACATCAGAGACTTATCACACTGTTATTGGGGGCATCAAAATGGCACTTCTATCACGAGAATGCATTTATTTCTGGCATGCATTTCGGTCCTTAAGTCTCTCTTCAGCTATGCCTGAACAAATAGGAATAATTCTGATTAATTGGTTAAGAGCAGGTACAATCTCAGGATTGTACCTGCCCTGAACCAATTTACAACTCAACAATGTAACTATGTCTTTAATGTATGAATATTATGCTAATATGTAGATTTAAAACAGATATCTATTTGTTCATGAATAGCCGAAGAAAGTCTTAAGAAGCGAAATGCTTACCGGAAATAAAGTTGCATTCTAGTGATAGAAGTGTCATTTTGATGTCCTCAGTGGGTGTGATCAGTTTCTGATATCTCTGCTACATAGTGCATGAGATACCTTTAGTAAAAGTTAACACATATAACAATTTATATATACTGTATATAACAATGTATGGGAATTTCCATGAAGTACTAGAAACTACAGGGTGCCTCAAAATTACTTCCCGGTCATTGGTACATTACTCCCTTCACAAAGTCAGAAGAGAGTTTTTTTGATATCAAACTGTAGTGGGAATTGAATGCGTTGACATGCGTGACACGTGGAGACTTCATGACAAAATGGGAGTTCTTTACTCTCTCGCTGGAGGCCGGGTAGTTAATCTACTTGGAAACGTGTTGATGTTTACCTTGTTTTAGCACCCATGACGTACGCACTTTCTTCAGTGGTTTATTTTCGATCAGGCTTATGGTCTCGCCATGGTTAATGGTTAAGTCAGCGTCAAGTCGCGGAAGTTGTTCTGAGACACCCTGTTTCTTACATTACCTCGTGTTCTGTACGTAACTTAACGTACTTTTATGCATAACCGCAACTAGCTTTTCGTTTGACCTGCCAAAAATTTTACTTTTGGCTTCCCAGACTTTTTGAATAAATATAAAAAATCAAATACGCAGTGGCGTAGCGTATTGGGGGCGGCGCGCCCCGGGCGGCAAAATTTCACAATAAATAATAATAATAGGTTGTAAAAATTTGAACCATTGTAATCTATATTTGCGTCGCGCCTACGATAGCGCTATCGTCCGGACAGTCCAGGAATCGGGTCACCGTCCGGGTGAACTAGTAATTTCATCCGAGTATATCCTGCGCAACCTGTTGACCTTTTTTTTCTTTTGCTTGTACGATTCATTCGCATTCATATACACCACCACTATCCAATAGAGCTATTTTAAACAGGTCGCTGTACTAGCACGGAATTTTTCATTGCTTGTTCTGTGACAAAACTGAATTTTAGTCTTTTAAATTGAAATACCTAAATAAGGGGGGCGAAATTTTCCTTTGCCCGGGCGGCTGACACCCAAGCTACACCACTGCAAATACGATAGAAATGGAAAGTTAAAATTTAACTTAAACAAAAATGTTGCAGAATCGACCTCACCGCTGTAAAATTTAAAATTTGAAAATAAAAATATAATATCGATCATTTTTCGATATCTCATTTCAGGGTACCCATGTACGGTACCCATGCACCCGTTGCACTTGCCTAGTTACGGTACTACTTTACGGTCACTCGTAAATAACAAAAATCGAAAAATAACTATCGACAAAACTTTCAATTGGTTACCATATTAATTTTATTTATAAACGTATCTTACCACTATAACTTATGCCCAAAACATGAAAATCTCTGTTGCAGAAGACTGCGACCATGCACCAACGATTACGATAACTTCTGCTAATTTTCTGTAAATAAAAAGTAGCGGAATAAAAACGTTCTTTCAGAAAATACTTGGGACTCTTTTTATTTTTGAACACAGTAATCTTTGTGACTCTAAATCCAAGACCTTCCGGAATATGATCTCTGTTCAGATCGATACGTTTAAAGATTTCGTCCGCTATTTTTGCATGATAAAGCATTTCCGCAACTGCTTTTGTTCGACTCCCATTCATTAGTTTTGCAAATGTATGGTCAGCGATCAATTCTAATTCGCAAATCAATTTATCCCTGAAATAAAATAAAGTTTTCAAATAATGATCATTACAAAGAAATGCTGTATATTCAAAATTATATTTAGTTTAATTAAACTAAATATAATTTAATTTTAAAGTTTAATTAACGTAATAATTAAAAGTCGTGTCGAGTAATTGTTCTTCCCTCTTCAACCACAATAGCGTGGTAAATAAATAAGTATTCTTGTTTTTAATATAATTAAATAATATTGTATAACATTAAGATATTCTAGGCAAAACAACCACATAAGCAAGCAATCTGTAGAAAGTAAAATTAATTTGTAAAATTCACTTAATGTTAATTTGCAAATTGTGAGAATATTCACTTCTAGAGAAGAGAAAATCTAATCTTATAATATAATCGAGATGAGTTAATAATAATAATAATACTAATAAGCACAAAGCCCAAATGGTTAGGAGTTGAAAGTATAAATTTGGTACATAGAATACGCCATAAAAATGCATACTAGAAAGGGATTTTTGGAAATCCCCCCGCAGGGAGAGGGAGAGGTTTAAGGATTATCCTGAAGAGCTCGGCTTCTATTTTACTATTTTAGATGCGTTTTTTACGATTTTGCAAGAAATGGAACATATTTTTAGACCCATGTAAAAATTCTCTAATTAGCCTCGGAAGAGGGGAAAACTAATTTTTGCACCTGGTTAAAAGGGGTAAGATAGAATAAGTAAAGATCTGAGTGATGTTCTTCCCAAATCCGTCTCGTTGAGTTGGTTTCCGTGTTTATCACGATTCGATGTTGTGATCCATGTTCGATGGAAAGCACACCTCCACACTCAAATTGATAATATTTACAGTTTATTTACAGATTCTATATGTAGAAGGTACAAGTTCGAAAACATAATAGAGAGGTTGAGGCGCACGTATTTAGCCCAAAACGTGTACGGGTAACGGGTGAGCGCCGCCATCTGGCAGTTCTGGACCGTCGATAATGGCGTTTGCTACGTGTAGCTTGGTGAGTACACGATCGGCTTAAACGTCTTCATTTTTTGTGTTTGGGGTTAAAATTATGATTTATTTTGCTTCCGCCATTTTTTCAACTTATTTCCCGTGAGTCAATGCGCGATGTTCACTGAGTCACGTGATGTTATGAACGTGTGCCTCAACGATTTTTACTTGGACTTGAAACGTGTAACGTGTACTTCTGCTACCCGTACACGTTTAACGTTTGAACTTGTGCCTCAACTTCTCTATTATATATATAGGGTAACAATGCGTGGTGACTCACGTACCATCTTGGTTTCTGGGAACTTTTAAACTTTGAAGCGGCCTCGGTCAGCTCGTGGAGTTGACTCAACTGTACGGTCCGTCCAGTCTCCGCACTAACCCGTCCCTGAAATGTTTACCAGAGGAGAACACACTCTCTCTACGCTCAGCGGGCCTTCCAAGTGCCCGAGACTACCGTGTACCAGTCTCTTGCCCTTCTCTCCTCTCTCGTTCGACCCAGCAATTTAAGGGTTTTTTGGACGGGGACTTCCGACCAATCACAACCCCTTCTTGCCCGAATAGCTTACACTCGGGTCCGCCGTCATCCGACGAGAGTGAAGCTTACGTCCGCCACTTGTTTACATTCAGTTGTTTACCATATGGCAAATGGTCTAACGTCTGACTACGGGTGGGTCCAATTGACAAAGCCGGCGCTTCTTCTGTTTTCCCTTGTTTACAAGTCAATATCTTACAAGTGATATTACCTGACCGCACGTGGGTCCAATTGACAAGGTCGCGCCTCTTTTGTTCCCACTCTGCTAAAAAGTCAATATTTTACAGAATATATAACTATACAGGTTATCTTACAAACGGGTTTATCACACCGAATGGCCAATCTAACACATTTTAAAAATTCTTTATTCCTGTACTGTGCACAATTTAGAGAATTTTTAAAATGTGTTAGGTTGGGCACTCGGTGTGATAAACCTTACTTAAGATAAACTTTATAAATGTAAATCAACTATTATAATATAATATAGTAGAAGGGGGTTTAGAAGTACGAAATAATTTAATAATCTTAATCTTTCTTTCTTTTGCCCGAGCAACGCCAGACTCATCTAAAGTAACAATATCTAACAAAACAAAGTCTTGAAGGAATCTTTTGAATGTCAATAATTCCTATTTAAATTGTAAGTGAAAGACTAAAATCTAACATTGCATTTCTTATCATAAAATCAAACATTATATGTAACAAGAAAACTCATATCAAAAAAGAAGAAAAGAATTTGGAGAGATTTCGAAATAACAAAAATGTCTAACTTACGATTTTTTTGGCATACCACGTTCTTGCAATGCCTCCTGTCTAACGACGTCATAATCGATCAAATCGTCATTACTATTATTATAAAAACGTGTATATTCATTAAATAAACTTTCGTATATTATATTTTTATTGATAAAAGTTACGTCTCTCTCTCTATAGATAAGGGCTTTGTCTTTATATTGCTCTTTCTTTAAATAAAAAAAAGCCGTTTCTACGTAATAAACTTCCTTAACTGATTGCACTCTTCCGACGAACACGTTACCATCAAAGTATCCACATACAGAAGAATACGTTTCTTCTTCTACAATTCCTGTGTAGATAAAGGCTTGTGGTATATTCAACATGTCTAGTTCTTCTGTGTTGTCATCGTGAATGAATATCTTTGTGCTTGAAGAAATGGAATGATCGACTTGCAAGAAAATTCGAAAATGTCTTCCAAAGGCTTCGAACTCTACAGAAATTGGAGTTTTTCTTCTCAAAGGATCCACTCCATCTCTAGTGTGAAGGTTTGTATTTATGTCGATAATTTCGTAATTCTGAAGGAACTCCAAATTTTGATTAAAAGAAAATGATTCACATACGAAAAATATAGAAATCCAAAGGCGTAGTATAAAATCCATGTTTCAAATTCAATTCGAATCCGATTTCTTAATACATTTTCGAACTTTAAATATATTTGAAATTTCAAAATTTATAAACACTAAATTGTAATTGAATTGCTAAACAGTATCACGAGATACGATTATTATAGGTAAATTTTGAAAATTTAATAAAAATTTAGAAATAGAAATGTTAAAACCAAAAAAATGTTTATTAATAAAGATGAAGCTTAGAAGAATGGAAAAATTGAAGAGTGGAAGGAACGCATACCACTGACAAATAAACATAATTTCTCCAAATTAATTAATAGATATAGACTCTGAAAAAAATTTGTTAATACGGTAACAATTAATTAAATTCTAATTTTATTTGCGAATTTCTTTACTGATGTAAACAAACTATCCCATTTTCCTAATGGGCTTGGTCTTTTTCTCCCACGAGCAATAACGTCCGTTGCTTTTCTTTACGTAGTTGGACTGTATTTAGGCGTTAGACACGTGTAGAAAACAGAAATCTCCACGTTGGCGAGGCGCGAACCTGGCGACACCAACCACCAATGTTCAGTGGATATACAGATTAAGAGATTATTTTATTCGGAAAAAAAACAATTTTCCAATATCTTTTAAACTTCGGTATTTCTACCGAGAATCACGCAGTGACTCCGCGGCAACCAAAAAAAAAAATCCCCGACTGATTATATATGTACAGAAATCAGAGTTTCCGACTTTCGGGGGCCACTTTCTCTTTCTCGTTCGAAAGATAATTGCTTTCTTAAGTTGAGTTGCAGAATTTAAGCTTTTTTCAGTAAATGGGTAGCCGAAATATAAACAATCGAAAAGTGCAAAAATCACCAAAAAAAGCTGCATTTTCTTCCTTATCCAGCATTGCAGACGCTCCAAGAGAAAAAAAACTACTTAAATCGGCGTGACTTCCAGGTCGAGAGATCAACGTTTACGCTGGTTTTCCATAGAGCTATTTTACTTAATTTTCTACTTACAGCAATAAAATCGCATAGATTAGCATTTACAATTTTTATAAAATCCATCTGTACTTTGCTAATTAATTTTTTTGCCATTTTATAATAATCAAAACATGTAAACAGTTTTTTGTTACGAAATATCGTAACAGATAGCGCCACATACGCAGTTTTAAATGTTGCCGGAAAAGTTAAACAACTCGTTGCTAGATTTTTTTTTAAATTGTGTATTGTTTATTTATGAAAATTAACTTTTTCTTTAAAAGCCGAGAACTTTAATACTCGATTTCAGTTTTCCTCCGCCAAGCTGTGATTGAAGATAGTGAAAAAGAAGTAATTGTCTCCAGTGTAAAAGTAAATAGTACATTTTACACACAAACTATGCGTAAAATAAAAAAAATACTGTTGTAACATCAACAAAAAAATTATTTGCAGTAAAACTTCTGTGTTTCAGCAGAAGATGATAAAATTTCGCAGGTTTTTAGTAAGTTCTTAAACGTTTCAAATTTCTTTTAGTAAGGCATGCTCACAATATAACGTTTTTGACCTAAACATATTTACTATTTGTGAATTCACCTGAAAATCATAGTGTACGGCATGTCAACGAAACGAAATAAATAAAAATACTATATACCTAGTTGTAAATCCGAATAAATAATTAAAAGTGTAAAAAGATGTAAAAACGTTGATGTAAGAAAATTAGCCAGTGGAAATAATTTCAAAAATTTCACAGAAAAGAGTTTCCTTTAATGAAAACTTTATTTCATAAAAATAGCGCACCAATTTTTTCAAGATACTCCTATCGAGCCGAATTATCTGTAAAGTTTCTTTCGTAATAAACGCGATATATATCAGTAGTTTCTTCACCTTCTTGAATGATAATTCGATAAAAATTCTCCTGATTATCTTCGACCGGAATCACCGTAACTTTTACGACGTTGGTATCACTAAAAATACTTTACATTATTAAAATTCACGAAGAAGGAATGCAGCGTAATGCCGTATTGTAAGTTGGTAACTTACTTTGACTGAAAAGTTGAATCATATTGCAGATCTTCTTGATTTCCTGATATGAAAGGTTCTAGAAACTTAATCGTCCAGTGAGTTTCCTTCCAGGTTTTATATTTTAACCAATGATATCTGTTTAAAAAGCCACAAATCATTAAAAACTTTTACATATTTATCAGTCGTTACACTACACATTACTTACCTCATTGTCATGAATAAATGGTAGATGTAAGCGATATTCAGAAATATAGGCAAGATAATTAGATAAATCGAAGAAAATCGATTCTTCCGAAAGACAATTGTTTCGATACAAAGAACGTTAGTAATTAGTATCAAAGAAATCAAAAAAAGTAATAAAATGATGTCCTTCTTAATATTGTTTATGTTGTCTTCGTATCTTTTGTTTCCATACCAGTCTTTAAAAGTCTATGTAAATATGTAAATATAATTTGCTACAGGGTATCCGAAAAGTTACTCTAAGCTACACTACAGATCTTTCTAAAGCAATGTTAATTTATAATATATATATATAAACGAGTTTGTTTATAAATCTCACAACAGATCTTCAGGTCCATGGAGATATTTGCTGTAGAATTAACATCTGTAGTAGAAAGTATTGTAGTGCGGAGTAACTTCTCGAACAACTTATAAAAAGACTGCTTTAATTTTATAATATTGTGAGGCTATGAACAGGTCCGAACCCTCACTAAAATTCGCGTTAAAATATTTTTTTGTATGAAAAAGCGCGATGCAAAAGTACAGTATAGACAATAGAAGAATGTAAATCCTAAGTTCGCCCATTTCCGGTTGAGATCGAATTAAATTTCGATTTTCACCTCTCTTACGATGTAAGTTGAGATCAACCATTTAGAAAGCGAGGAAAAGCGACTAAATCGGAATTGGCCGAAAATTCCAAGTGTCGGACCAATTGTTGTGTATGTGTCTCCTGCCTATCTTCGTCTACGTCTCCCTTATTCGGATCGGCAACTTCCCATCACCAGAAGTCGATCGCATCGTCGCGGAGCCGTCGAGACGTCGAAGGAATTCTCATTTGCGAATCGGGGACATTCTTTTTGCGACTATCTTGGAAGGGAGAGGAAACACCAGAGGCCGCCGCCGACTTTGAACTTCCGAGATCGAGGAAGTCTTGCAAGCTTCTTTCGTGTCAAATAAACGATTAGTTGTAACCGTAGAGCTGTCTCGGTACCGATCGCATCCACACGCGACCCTCTCGATCCCTCGTCAATCCTAACAATCGCGACGCCGTCGGCAACCTTACACTGATACTAGAGGTGCGATTTTAAACGCAAGATTTGCAAAATTTCTGCAGCCCCACAGTATAGTGTGGGCTCCGACCAAGAGTATGTGGTCTCTTCGATGACTCAGATTCAACATGTGAAATTTTCGTGGAACGATCGTGAGACGCTCAAGCGCAGCGAAATACTTACGGCTAGAGGCTATTTTTAGAGGAAAAGTTTTCTATGTATGCTGATATCATACATATAAGATTGAGTATTTTCGTCATTTTGTTAACAAACTCTTCCCAGTGATAGTTTGTAAAGAGGTAGAGAAAATGTTTATTGATTCTTTAGAGCGACGTCACAAGTAACAGTACGAGTGGTGACAACGCGAGATTGTCGAAGGGAGACACGAGACTAATCACAAAATTCTGCGGGCCCACACTATTATGTGTAACGAGATCTCAAGTTAGATCGCGGGAGAGGTCAAGATCGAAGTTTAATTCGATCCCAACTAGAGATGGTCGATCTTAGGGCTTCATTCTTCTATTGTTAATACTTCTGAGTTGCGTTTTCATACAAAAAAATATTTCTAGCTTCATTGACTTTTCTTTCAAAAAATATTTTAACGCGAATTTTAGGGAGGATTCGGACCCGTCTAGAGCCTCACAATATTATCTCACCGTTGGAGTGCGGATGATGGAGTAAGGAGTCTTACATTTTTCGCACGAATTAATGTCGTGAGTCTCTAACCATTCTTTAAAACAGGATTTATGCTTCATCTCTTTTCCTTTGCAAAGTAGACAGAGTTAATTATTTTTTAAATTTAATTAAACAAAGCAAATAATTTTCAGACCTTTGCATTGACACGTTCCTATCAATTCTTCTCTTTCATTGCCTAAGTTGCAGATGCCACATTTTAGTTGTCTCAATTGAGAAGAAATACTTAATATTCCTGATATATGACTATCGGGTATTGTTTTATTTTCAATGTTTGTCTCTACGAAATCCATTTTTCAATAATTTACTTTACAACAATTGCAGTTTTGCATTATGCAATAATTACAAGATTCAGAATTTCTCTTTATACCATTTTGGATTATTGATACGAAGAATCTTCCATTTTTAAATTTAATGGTTTATTTCGAATTATTGTGAATGTGTTTATTTAATTATTTCCCTTTATTAACAGTAAACAGACAAAGCAAACTTTCACTTTTCATAGTGAAATTAAAATATTTGTTGCAATTATAATAATCCAAAACTATCTGAAACAAATGAGTATCGTATTAAAATGTAATTTAAGGAATATATGTACGACCGATCACCCATTTTAATTGTCAAAAGAGACGATTGACGTAGGCCTTCAAACTTTGTCAATTTAAGGAACCCTTATGAGTATAAAATTATTTCGCGGAACCCAGGATCATAAGCAATAGAATATATTCACAATCTAGGTAGTACATATAAAAAAAAAACGTTTTAATGTTCTTTTATTATATTATAACTAGCAGACCCCGCCACGTGTTGTTGTGGCTCAAAATGTATCTATTATAAATGTATAACACTTTCCTCGTGGGGGGGGAAATTTTTCGAAAAATTTCTTCTTAGTGTACATTCTCTTGACGTACCCTATTAAAACGCAATCAAAAACGCAAAAACCCGCATCTAAAATAGTATAAATAGAAGCAGAATTCTTTACGGTAAGCCTTAATCCTAACCATCTCCCTTCTGTGGGGTGAATTTCGACACGTATATTACAGTATACAAAAACACGTGCGTATTCGAATGCAGCGTTGTGTCAAAATTTCAAAGGAATCGATAGGAACAAACGAACATTACATTTTTATTTATATAGATAGATAGAAGATGATCCACTTTAGTTCATTTTCACAGAAAAGCGTAATGCCTCGCAGAAAAGCAAACTTAGGGCGTCGTACTCGTAGCGCCATCTGTTGGACAAAAAAGCCTTAACTATATATGATATCATTTAATTTATACGAATGTTTAACGGAATAATATACAGCCTATGTCCACCCTGAGGTTCCATTCTAAATATTGGTGAAAGAATTTTTGAAATCGGATGAGTACTTTCGGAGATTACCTGCTGCATACAAACTTACATACATACATACAAACATTACCTCTTTATAATATTAGTATAGATAAAAGTAAAAAAAGTATTACAAAATACAGTTAATTAATATGTACAAATAAAATCTTCAATTTTAACGACTGGGATGAGCTTGCTTTGTTTTGCACAAAACTTTAAAGTCAGGTTTTATTGTCGTTATTTGTAAACGCATTTCATGTTCAGCATCCAATTTATTTCTGTATTTTGTGTTTGTTCCCACATATGTTGAAAACGACTTTTTGCACAAATATCTTGTACAAAAAACGAAGGGCATTAAGGTTTTTATAGCTTTTGCAGAAATTTGAGGATATTCCGTGTAAATTTTTAACCAAAAATCAAGATCTTCTCGTTCGTATCAGCATTTTAACGTAGAATCTGTTGATAGTTCAATCAGTTGTTCCTGTTCTGTCAGTAATAAATTCTGATTTCAGTATACCCCCCTATAAAACTTAGATAATTCCGTGTTATATGAATTCCATGTTGTACGAGTCACTTAGATTTTACAAGTACGTGAGCCGTTCACAGCCCGGCACACTTATTTGTAAAATCTTAGTGACTCGTACAACATGGAATTCATATAACACGGAATGATCTACAGTGTTATAGGGGTCTACTGTATTACTGAAATTTTGAAATGGATATTTAAATTGAAGTAAACGCGTAAACAATTCTGATGGAAAGAATACACCGCCATAACATACATCTTAATTTAAATTAATTAATTTTATTTCACAAAAGTCAACAACAAAATCTTCATAAATTCAAATTTTAAAAAATTATAAGTAAATAATATGAAAGTTTTCAAATATCTTTAAAATAATAATTATTATTATTTTATTAAAAATAAAATATTTTACGTATAAAATGCTTGTTTGATGGCAGAGGGCGTTGCCTGCCTTTCATTTCATCATCTTTTTCTACCGTCGTATGTAAGAGGAGTAGCACGTGCTGATATCGTAACCTTTACACAAAAGAAATGATGAGTTTAGTCAGGAAGTCGTGTTTAAACGTGTTAAATGCACACAGGAACGTCAATTTAAACAGAAATCTCTCCCTTTACGAAAAGGTAATGATTATAAATCGTTAAAATAACATTAACTCCAGTTAGGGTTAAAGTAGAGAAAAACGCCAAAGTTGTCGGGAAATCTCGAAAAATTTGGCCGATTGTGCTCATTCCGACTAAAATCTTAATGAAACGACGTTTCTGCCTTAAGATTTTTATTCATTTAATCTCTTGACGCCATTTTTCCTTCGTTAAGAGTTAAGCCTAAAATCTCGTGTTCTTATTACACTACTAATTAATTAATCAATTTAATACGTTTACCTACTTTTATACACGTGGATTTACGAGGAATTACAGTAAATACGATTTTTGTAATTGGAGGAAAACTTTCCGACAAAATAGAATGTTCTAGAAAGGTACTAAGCCATTTGCTGATATTGGAGGTAAGATCAAACATTGCATTGGGAATGAAGAATTTATAACACATTTAATAATGTTGTTACAGTCATTGATAGATTATTTTATAAACAGTAAACTTCACATTATTTACTTTGATTCAAAGGTTATTCATTTCATTACCGATCTTGCGTCCCTTAGAAAAATATTTGCTTGAATGAAGCCTTAAAGACCAAATAGAATGTTAAACATAATTTTAGTTGTCTTTTGTACTTCGATTCATCATTAGGAATGCTTACGGGAAAATAAAATGCTAAATGGTGCCCCGCTTACGTGGATGTAAGTAGGGGTACTTAATTAAATTAAGCTCCACTAAGTCATTTTATGCTTCTTCTTTAAACATTTCCGGCATTCCTTGTTCAATTTCTTTAGAGGTTATATGCATATAGAAGAAAAATATTAGTAATGAACATTGTTAGACTAAAAAAAGTTTGGATTTTTATTAACACCCCAACTTTATCTTAGGGTTTGTAGGAAGGCAGGGCCGTGTTTGGTAATGCAGAACACTTAAGATAGAATTCCGAGTGGTTTAGTGGGCGGAGCTAAGAATGTTCCGAGTATCGTCGAACGATTATTCTTAGTTAGACAACTGGGCAAAATGGCGGACGAAGTTAAAATTACGATTGCAACAATTGTTGCAAACGAACCGGTCGTAAAGGATGAAGAAACCAATAAATTATTCAAATGGAAGCTGCGTCGGATCGTGACGAAATTAATAAAGCAATTATTAATTGTAATCGACGAAATTGGCCACTATCTTCCATTAAAATGTATTCGGAATCTGTTATACCAATGTATGATAATTTTACATTTTGAAGTCATTTTAGAATGAGTTAATGATTTAGAATGACAGAATAACTTTTGTGATTGTTATAATAAAATATGTTTAGTCCAACGGGAGCAGCCATCTTGCAAATCGAGACAAAAACAATGACGTCACTAGTAGAAGTTAGCATAGATAAAAGAAGCTGACTGAACTAGCTAGAATTCTAGTGGTGGGAGGAGTTGAGCAGTAGCTAGAAACGAGTTTGACATTGCAGCATAACTAGACTTATCAAGAATTCTTTGTTACTGAACATGGCCCTGATCTGACTGCTCTGTATACCCTTAGGTAAAGTTTACATAAGGGGACAGCAATAGGTGCTTGTAAAATATCTAAACTTTGCAAGACAGTGTATTAGTGCACACCTGGATGTAAGTTCAAAAATATTAAGATTTCTTTAATTTCATTAAAGTTAATAGTTTTGTACTTAAGTTTGTAAGGCTTGTGTAACTTGTGTCTAATATCTGAACTTTGAAATATAATTAAGGCTGATATAAGAGTTACTACACTACTTTTTTTTTTACTGTTTTTAATCTGCAAGTGAAGATCTTCCAAATTTGTATATACAGAGCTGAAGAACAACGTTACTGGAATATAATTTAATGCTTTTGAAGTGTTTATAATTGACTTATACTGTAATATTATTGATAATTTTCTTTTAACAATAAATCTAAATATTTTTATATAAGACATACTTAGATATGATTAGTAACAAAAAATTATGGTATTTTATACTGTTGAAAATGATTTATGTTACTGAGATTATAAAAATTTCAGAACACTGAATTGCCTGATATTCTTATTTATTTGATTATATCATCATTCAGTATATATAATATTGAATCAGATTCATATCTGGAATATTTGGACACAATACTGTTACAATCAATAATCTAAGGTGGTCACCTTACATTATTGATTGTAACAGTATTATCATATTATCCCTGATGTCATATTATCAATATATACAAAAATGCGTAATTCAGGAAGCCAACATGGGGGATTTTTTTAATGTAAATGGAAGGTCAAGATCTTTCCTCCTTGTAAGAAAACATTCTTCAAAAAATTTTGTTGGCTCTTGAATTAAACATTTTTGGATATTTTTACTTTTATAATTTATATTATTTTTAAGATTATTGATAAAATTTACTTAGAGATACAATAAACCTGATTGGGCTGCAATTTGAAAAAATTGTAGACCTATAAATTCCCACTGTCATCCATCTGTCTATCTTTCCTTAATGTCAAGAGTATTGTTAGATAAATGAAATTCAAGACCAAATATGGAAAGCTTAGAGGCAGGAGGCACAAATTAACTATATAAATTTCCAACAAAAACCAGAAGTCACATTATTTCAATTCAGAAATTTTTTCCCGAAAGGAGTTATATGATCGGCATGACTCCATTGCTAACACAAAAATATGAAGTACAGGTATAGTACTAATTTGAAGTGGAGAGTATATATTTTAAATTAAATAAATTTAAAAAAATTAAAAATTGCAGCTCGGCATTGTGAAGAAATCTCGATAAATAATCGTTTGCTATTCTTATATATTTATTCTTTGATTACTGCATGAAATATTAAAAGTAGGATGTAGATATTTGATTTTACATTATGATTTTACAATTTATTATAATTAAATTGTAGTTCTGTGAATTAAGAAGGCACAGTTGAATGTAACATTCTTGTTTGTTGCATCATTACAAAGTGACTAAGATGCTGCTTTGTTCCTTAAATTCTATTTTGATTTGTTTTGTTAATTAATGAATGTTTGCTTATACATACATGTGTAATCTGTTGTTGATTAAAATTGTTATTATATGTATGCTTATTTTTAATGAATTTTATTTTTCTCAACTGTTTTTAACAAATATAAAAATACAAATAGAGTCACAATATATAGTAATTAAATATTTTTGAATGGAGTAAAAATATCTATTTAATAAATTAATTGAATTTTCCAAGTAGTAATTTAGACCTAAGATTGTCCTTTGGTAATATTGAACATTCTTATTTTGTAATTATATAATATAAATTAATTGCTACTTTACTGATTTAGACAAATGTTTCTTTTATGACATCAAAAATTCTTATTTGAACAAAATTGATCTTAATATAAATGTTGGAAAGTGTTCTGTAAATATCAATGGATTGATAGTGATATAATTCATAAACATTTAATAGCAAATGTTTGTTTGCTATTAAATGTTTAGAATTATTAATATGATTGTATTAAAAATATATCACTATCTTATGTATGTGTACTGTATTTGAGATAGCTGCATATTGTTATTCAGTTGCTTCATTGGAATTAGAGTATAATTGGTTTTTTGTAAATGAGTGTATTTTACTGATGGGAATTATTGAGCATATTTACTTACATGTAGTATATTTGTAACTGCTGAATTATAAAGATGGCAGTTATATTGTTACTTTGTTAGTTATTTTCTAGTTTTGAAACTAAATTAAAAATATTAAATTTAAAACATAGATTTAATTAAATTTTTTTCCTGTTTTTCAGACTAACAGTTTTGCAAAATATGGAAAGAATGTATTACAGAAAAGATACAAGTAAGCTTTTTTATTCTGTTCTCTTTGCAAATAATGAAACAATATTACCATCAATTTTTAATAGTTACAGGCAATGAAATCTTATTTATTTAATAACATCTACAAATATTATTTAGTTCATTTTTACTTTTTTTTTCTTTGGAATTTAGAGAATTGCATAGAATTAAATTAGAATTCCAATTAATTTAAAATAAATTCTAACTTTCACTTTCATGTATTTGAACAATATAACTTTTTAACAGAAATTTAAAACATTTTTGAGGTGGAGTATTAGTGAAGTCTTTTATGTGGCTTACAGAATTGTGTTCATTCTCAAAATCTGTTTGATTGATTTTGATTAAACTTTGCCATTTTCTATTAATTTCAATGAAGAATCCAAAAATGTAATAAAAAGATGGGGTTTATGACTTTGTTTTTCAGATATAAGGTTGTAGCATGACCAGACGACAAAATGACATTGCACGAATTATGTGACTATGTCGTGCAGTGTTCCACGGTAACCAGCACATTTTCTATGGGCTTACAGAATAGAGTTCATTCTCAAAATTTAATGGGTTGATTTTAATAAACTTTACCATTTTCCATTAGGTCTAATTTCAATGAGAAATCCAAAGTGTAATGAGGGTTGATTTAAACATAAAATCCAACAATGACTTGCTTAAATTTCCCAGCAACATTTGGTGCCACCATCTGTTGTTATATTTTATTAAAAACATATTTTTGACTATTATAAAATGGCAAAAGTCTTAATTTTGAGGATAGGGATGGATTTTATAAAAAATGTCAATGCTAATAACAAGTAAAATCATCATTAAGTCTACCCTCACTGAAGATACACATGACCCTCTTTATCTCCCCACTTCCTTAACTTTTAATCACTAAAATTAAATAGCATTGGTCCCCTAATAAAATAACCTTTCTGCAAAATTTCAGAAATTTTCAACAAAAAGCACAGGAGTTATTAAACTTCAAAGAACAAAATTGTGCCTTCACACACTAACATTCAAACATACAGAAAAAACACCTGAGTTTTTTTAACCTTGATGTTTCAGGTGTTTTGAGTCCAAAAATGAAAAAATCTTGGGGGAGACATTTCTTGACTTATTGCCTCTTTCTGTTCTATATAACAGGCAGGAAAGTAAAAATAGGAGTCCATGACTTGATATACAGAGATATTAAATTGATAATTTCCCTGTTCTCAGATGCAACTAAGTACACCTAATGGAATTAGGCCTAGAGAGGTCAAAGATAAAAATAGCATTGTGTGTGCCTAACAGAAAATATGCAGAAAAATGAACAAAGCAATTGAGATTGGAGATTGCTTTGTTATCAAATTCCTCTTTGTGTCAGCAACACCGCATTTCTTTATGCAGCGAAAGTGTAGCAAAATGACGTCACGAGCAGTGTTGGCCAATTAGAAACCAGTTTCAGTGTGTTCACTGTAAAGCGCTTCTCGAGCAATGCATAAAGAAATGTGGGGCAAGTCTCTTCATACCCAACCAGTGCAAAGATTGTCTCCCCCATGGTCGGCTGGTACAAGGATCTTCTGTGCCTAACAGTGTTCGGGGATCACTTTTTTTTCCCTGGCTCTGGCTCATTTTTATTGTGATACAACAAAGTAGGTCAGTGTTTGTGTTTAGACTATGTGCTTTAGATCTTTAATCATCTGGCTTAGATCAGAAATAGACAAATGTTATTTCTGATCTAAACCAGATGAATGTGCAGTGTCTGCTATTGGGGTTGGTTTTCAAAACACAAAATATCCTGACCTTTATTATACATTTAACATCGATAGTACAGGCCAAGGCATTATACTCTACTCCTCATAAGTGCTGATTGACCATATTATGATCTTTATGGGTATCCAGTCCACCCACAGTGGGAATAGTTTTGGTTGGTCACATAATTTACGAATGTACTAGTGTCTTACATCAATTAATCTAATTCATTTCCAACTTCACAATGAATGTTCTGCTTTGGTAACAGTGTCCTGCCTGTTGATATTACTAATGCTTCTATTTATTTCACTTATATTTTCTAATTGTTTCTTGAAGTAATGTTGTCCTTTATCATCTTAATGTTGCTTTCCACTATTCTAAACATACTAACATATCTGGTCAAATTCTAAGACTGTTAAAATTAAATTATTTATTTTAAATTTCTTCTAATTTAAATTGAGTTTTTTGCTGCTTTCGATAGATTTGATTTTTCTTAATAATTTGCACAAACATGCATATTTTTTCTTTTAAACTGCTGGATTAAAGAATTTTTATTACATGAATTTGAACAATGATATTTTGTATATGTATAGAATTCAATTAATGAAAGGAATGCTACATTATAAAATGTATAAAAAATTTCAAAATATTCATGAATATTGATTATAGAATTATTTAAACATATGTTGCACCTGCTTCCATTTACTAATTTACATTTATAATGTCTTAAGTGCAGTTATTATGCTAAAAATTTTCAAATAACTTGATTAATTTTGATTTTTTTTCCTATTTTTATATGAATTGCTTTGCATAATTAACATTAAATATAAAAAAGATAAAAACTATCTTGTTCAATAAAAAAATATTTATATTTTATTATTATTATTAAATTTTTCCCATAGATGGTGCTAAGTGTAAAGCCAGCGAATTGAATGTAACTAGAAATTAATTGATTTGTAGAAATCCAGTAGATATTTTGGGATGAGATGTATGACATTATCTAAGTTAGAAGTATGTGAACATAACTGCCAAGTCTTGTAGCATTTGGTCAAACAGACTAGGCATACATAGCAAGCAAACGTCCTCATTTATATAATATATAGATTATATATGTATTGATATAACTGTGTAGGAGCTGCAGTTTGGTTGCCATAGGCATCTGATCTGTGAAAGGGCTTTATAAGTTCATTAATTGCTCTGTTTTTCACACCTAAAACTGCCATTGTAAATTATTATTAAAATAACTTGACAAAATGATAATCTCATTCACCTAAATCAGTGGTTCACAACTGGGGTCCACAGGAAAAAAACCAAATTGGGGGTTTACGGTGATATTTTAGTGGTCTCTAGGGTAATTCTACTTAAGAACAATTGTTTTACTGAGAATTAAATTTTTACAGTATATATATTGTCAATTTCTTTATTCACTCTTCTCTAACTGCACTTATGAAAAATAACTAAATTTTACTAACCTTTTAAAATGCAGTCTATTTAATTATAGCATCTAACATTTTCAGTCAATTAATTGACCATCATCCAGAATGAATCGAAAAAATTTTTGATTTATACGGAATGAAACTGATTATGGAACGTTTTTAACTTTAAAATTTTCTTAACATCTAGTGTGCACGTCCATGAATCAATAAACGAAACCTACAGACTGATAATGTACAAATACACTAACTATATACAAATAAAAATAAAGTAAAAATGAAAATTAATAATAAAAATGATTAAATCAATAAATAAATAAACAAGTGATGACATGATGGGTACCGACTAATGCCTATTTTTTAATTGTCCATGCCTTTTTTCCCTTGCTGATATATATTCATAATGCACCTGCTCTCCATGCTGTGGAGACTTTATAGGATTCTCTAAAGTTTATATCCTGTCCTGCTAGATTGCTCTTGTGAATATGCCATGCTTCTGTGTATTTAAGATGTCTCCTAACTTGAATCTTTTGTATTATTTTTGCTCTTCCCATTTCACTGAAACCTCTGTCGGGTCTGCTATAACATACGTCACTAGAGCAGTGACTGGTTGCTCTTTCCGTACATTCTTTTGTGCTCTTTTATTCTTTCTTTTAGTGACCTTGTAGCTGCAATGTAGTACAGTGCTTCTACGGGTATTCTGTAAATTCCAGAAATAAGGTACTGGTCTATAGCTTTCTTGTCTGTATATAGCATCTGGTATACTGTTGGATTCTTTTTAAAGCCTATCTTTTTATTAGTAGCTGCTCCTATTTCTTTGTAAATGTTGCTTAAGGGTGCCATGTATTCCATTACTGTGTATTCTACTACTCTTCTAATTTCTTTATTACTCATTTCTTGCATAAGAGTTAAAATATAAATTATTTAAAATATTGAATACGAGGTCTGTTCAAAAAGTATCGGACCTTTTTTTTTCCGCGTAAACCAATGATGCGCGAGAGGCCTCCTTCGGTGGAGTTGTGGAGGGGACAGTCATGCACAGCCCTAAATTTTTTCCCGCCTGCAGGAAGCGTCAGTCGTTGGCAATCGGCCTATGAGTGAGGTCATGTAGTGTGCTCTTGTCGGATTCCACTAAGCTGGAAAATGACTGAACAACGTGAGCAGCGATATTACATCAAATTTTGCCAAAAACCTTGGCAATACCCAAGTGTAAACCATTCGCAAGATTTAGCAGGCTTTCGGGGACGATCCTCGAGGCCAAAAAAAGCGCGGAAGGTCCGCGGCAATATCAAAGGTCATGTTGACAGTTTTTTCAACTCTCGTGGGGTGGTGTGTCGTGAGTACGCATCACAAGGCCAAACCATCGCGAAGGAGTACTACCAGGAGGTCCTTCGTTGTCTTTCCGATACAGTGCGACGCAAACGACCGGATCTGTGGTCGATCAAAACTTGGCAGCTCCATCGTGATAACGCATCCGCCCATTCTGCGCATCTAATTCGGGCTTTCGTCGCCAAACACAATACTCCTGTGGTTCGTCACGCTCCGTACTCTCCCCACATGGCTCCGTGTGACCTTTGGCTATTTCCCAAGCTGAAAATGCCACTAAAAAGAATTCAAATTTAGTCGAGAGAAGACATTGTGTGAAATCCAGCCAGTTGGACCGGCTGATGGCCATTCCAAAAGATGCGTTCCAGCAGTGTTTCCAGCAATGGCAGGAACGCTGGGAGAAGTGTATACATTACCAAGGAGACTACTTTGAAGGGGATTAGGGTTTCATACCTCAAAATCAATAAATTTATTTTTGCCGACCAAAGGTCCGATACTTTTTGAACAGACCTTGTATATATACAACATATATATATCATTGACAAAGGTCAAAGAGAGATTATAAAGCCAGGGTTTGTTAGGATCCCTAACCTTCAGTTCTGTACAAAACTCCATCTTGACGAGGTAAGATGTATTAAAAGTGTTAGTTCATAAATACAGTAGTTACTTTTTCTGAAATTCAGAGCGTCAGTATTAATATGTATATTTTCCAATTTGAAACAATGTAACAAAAAAATGTAAGGTTTTTTTTTCCTGTGCAATGTTGGGTCCACAAAAAAATTAAGAGGAAAAGGGGTCCATGGGTAAAAAATTGTTGCAAACCCTTGATCTAAACTAACATTTTTCAAACTGGGTTGCATGGAACCTTGAGGATTTACAAAGTGATGTAAGGGTTTCATGAGATAAATATGCAAATTGTTTGATTTAAAATCCTATCATGATTGTTCACATGCTATCAGTGACATTAACATTTGATCACTGATAGCATGTGAACAATCTATTGCTGCTTTAATTCAGAAGCTTTTTAAATTATAAGTAATTTCTACTGCTTTGTTCTAGTTTCGTTGCCAGAAATTGTAGCTTAACTTGGTGGCAATAGGTGTGTCCCAGTATGGTTATACAGGATATTTTATGGTTCTATAAGTTAAAATAGATTATGAAACACTGATAAAAACAAAATTATTCAAACAAAAATGTACAGTTGTCATATATTTCTGGAATCTTTCTGTAAGTATTCAATATATTGATTATAAGATAAAAATAATGATAAAATATGATAAAACTAACTGCGTATTGATTTTGATTTTTTTTAGACAAAATAACACTTAGTGATATTAATTATTGTTGAATTGTCTGTTATTTATATAAAATTATAAAAGATTCAAGTCTTGTACATTTACATATCCAGATAAATATAAGTTTATTTATTAATTGGTATTGTAATTTATTAACTAATTCTATTTTTTTGCTCATAATTGCAGATCAGTGTACTGTAGATAGTTGTGACTAATTTATAGACTGCTTCATTAGAACAGTGAGGCTAAAATTTGTTTTCAAATGAGAGGGAGACTTCTTCCTTTGCTTTTTCCAGAAGGGAATAATGATAATTTTAGGGATAAACTTGTAAAAGTCTAAGTGGAATCTTATTTCATAATTAAGTAATGTAATTTATTTGTTTTATTAACATTTGTGAATTATTGTATCATGTCTGCACCAGAAATATCCAAAGATAGCTTATGTTTTTTAATGATTTTCTTTCTCTGAACTTCTTGGGAAATTTAAATCTGAGTTATATTTATCTATGATTCCTTGTGAATTCTTTTAATAGTAAACTCAACATATTTACAATTTCACTTGCATGTTTTATGGTCAGAAATTAGAACAAGTGGACTATGAAGTATTCACTTGTAAGTGTACTGAAATGTTTAAAAACAGAACTTGTTAAAGGAACTGATAGGTCTGTAATCCAAATAAAATAAGGAAAACTGTGAAGTCAAACTGTGTAACGCAAAAAAAGAGCAAGAACTGATCCATTTACACGTGATAACTCTGAATAAATTGTTCTGCACTTCACCATGAATGACACTTGGCACTCTGTCAACAGCAGTTCTCTTATTACTATGTGGACAATAATATCTCAGGCAATTTAGTGGACCTGCCATATTGAACTACCAAACAAACATTGTTACCCAAATCTATTACTGTTTCAATCTTTTCTCTGTTCCCTATCTTCTCTTTGACACACCACTTGGATATGAGGTCCAGACCCCACTCACTATCACAGAAGGGAGAATTTGTTGATGGAAAGGGAGAAGGTTGATGAAATTTGTTTACTGTTTCTCACCCAAGGTTCATGGAAGTGAAGAAATTCAGTGTTATTAGAGCTTGTTTGTCACATCTCTTGTTTGATGTTTGCAGACGGGAGAGAAACTGACATTGATACAAAACTGTTTGCCACATTGATCTGATCCAAAAAGTTTTTTCTTGGTAGAACCAGATGTATAATTATGTGAACACAAATGGAGTCTTTCCAACCTCCCACCCCAATACATGCAGAGAAAACAAAGGGAAGAGAGCTTCAATGCATCTGATTCAGAGGTAGATGAAGTTAAATCTTAAGGCACAACTGCATTCTTAGGGATGGAAAGGAAAGCACATTCTCTCTGTTTATATTTTATCATTCTCCAGGAAGTGAACGAATTACTCTAAGGAGTGTTGAGCTTAGAAGCCCATTTCCACCCAGATACAATCTTGCCACAACTGAACTTGGACCCTAGTAATAAGATGGGGACCAATCAGGAAGGAAGAGGAGGTGGACTGTGGCCAATCAGAACCTGAATTTTGTGGAAGAATAGTATAAAAACCCATGTTCCCAATGACATGAGGTCTTATATACTATTGTACTTTTTGGCTGAATGAACAGAAGAGATAATCTTTTCTACCAAAATGTCTAGTCTTCTTATACCAAAAGGGTACTTCTTACATCATCTCAAGGGGTCTTTTTCTGCCAAAAAGATGAACACTTTGTATGTCAGAACTGCTGAGGAATCTGTTTTCCAACGAAAGATCATGTATTTTCTCCATTTCCTGATGAGAAGATCAACATTATCTCTTATCTTCAAAGGAAAGATCAGCATCCTTTAATAGCTATGTAGAGTGTAAAATCTCTTCACTTCATTATTCCACAGGATTTCTTACCAGTTCTTTTAAAATTAGGTAAATTTTTGTTTGTTGTTATCATAATGCATAAATTAGATGCTTGAAAGTGATTGAGTATGTTGTATGTGCTAGGTAGTTGTATGTGTTATCAATGCTATTAAATGTTAAAATGTAAATTTTATGTACTTATTCAACCTTTTCTATAACTTTAAAGAATGACTTTTTTTAACATAGATAAAACATTTTTCCAGATGACTAACGTCTCATCAGGTTGAAAGCTATTTCATCAGCTGTCTTGTCAAACTGTAGAATGATATTTAAAAACTAGCATCCCACAGTTCAGAGAGCAAATTTTGTAATTTTGTGTCTGTGATTTGGATTTGGTGTACTGCTTGACAATAAATTAAAATAAGACAAAAACTGCTGTTATCTTTACAGTTTGTTTTAAATGATTTATATCATTTAAGCTCTTTAGTTACATACCAGACAGGTATAAAAAAAATCTCTCATAACTTTCTTTTGATATGTTATAGCTCTTGTTTACTGTGTACTTACGACTGGTTTGTTGTCTTCCCATAAGTTTCGTGAACAACTTGAGTTTAGTTTTAGCAAAGTTGTTGGATGGTCTACATTGAAATAGATTTGGTACAGTTCTAATTTTATCCAATTGTACACACAATTATTATATATATGAAAGTAAGTTCCAAATACTATTTACTGTAATAAATTGTGGGGTAAGATGGTATTAGAGTTTTGTACCTTGTTTAACACATCCTTTTCAGTAAATTATAAATTTTTTATAATACTGAGTTTTGGATTATTAAGAAAAACTACTCTTAAAATCTACGTGATGATATTTTGTTAATTGTACAGAGGCTTATCATTAAGAGCTTAAAATTTCAATGCAAGAACATGAGTTTTACCAATATTAGTCTCTCAATAGATTATTTCTTGTGTGTAAAAAACAATTTTTTGTTATGTTATGACTATTAATATTTGTCTTACTATTGTTTATTTCTAAAACTAGATATATGAAATAAAGATGCGTGTTTGAAAATATTATCTTAAAGAAAACACCTTTGAAACATTGTCTTAATTTATGACCACCTCAAAAATTCTTAATTTTAAATGTTTAATATAAAATTATTTGTTTCCAGATCTGACACAGTTAAAGGAACTGTTATCGGAATCGATCTTGGCACCACAAACTCTTGTGTTGCAGTCATGGAGGGAAAGACCGCCAAGGTGATTGAGAACACAGAAGGATCTAGAACGACGCCCTCCGTTGTTGCCTTCACACAGGACAATGAGAGACTTGTTGGTATGCCTGCCAAAAGACAGGCCATCACCAATGCTTCCAATACATTTTCTGCCACAAAACGACTCATCGGTAGAAGATTTGACGATCCTCAACTTCAGAAAGATTTGTAAGTTTACTTAAGCTTAATTAAGTGTAAGTTTCATTATCAGACTTTTAAGCCATTAAAATTGTAACAATGGAAATTTCAGTTGTAAATGCCAAAATTATTATTGGTGCAAATTGTCTATGTTTAGAGTGATTTTTAGATGATTTTCATTGCTATTGGATTGCTATGCATGTCATTTAAAGCAAGTTGTTGGTGTTTAACAGTCTTGACAACAGAAATAGTGAATAAATTACACTAAATTATTGATATTAAAGTTTATAGCTTTGTCTAGATGTAGATGATTTTCTTATTTACAGCTGAGATGCAGAAGTCGTGAGTGCAATCATTGTTTTAAAAAATACAATATAAAAATATGCATTTTGCATTTCTTTCAGAAAATCTTTTTCATATAAAGTAGTTAAAGCTTCAAATGGCGATGCTTGGATAGAAGCACATGGAAAGATGTATTCTCCCAGTCAGATTGGAGCATTTATTTTAATGAAGATGAAAGAAACTGCAGGTGAATGACAGTTTTATTATTTAGAAATTGCTCGTTTATATATAAATTATTTTAATATTGTGCATTTAAATTTCAGAGGCTTACATTGGTCATCCTGTAAAAAATGCCGTAATTACAGTTCCTGCATATTTTAATGATTCTCAAAGACAAGTAAGTTTGTATTTAGCCACTGTATTTGTGTTAAAAAGTGAAATAATATTGAAAGCTAGATGAATAGAAATTTTAAACTTTGTAATTTTATACTTTAATTTTTAGTTGTTTGATAGCTATTCCTTTATAATATGTTAAAAATACATTTTAAAAAATATTGAAAATTATAAAATTTTAAAATATTTTAAGTGCAATTTGTTATTATGATAGTACAGTAGAGCATCAATTATCCGACCCCCGATTAACCATCACATCGGTTAACTGACCGTTTTACTCGGAAAATTTCAAATGTCTGCTAGTGATGTGACATTACAATATTTGGCTATGTCTTGGCTACTTTAATATTATTTTTGTTAAATTTTTGCATGTTTTAGCTGGCATCAACGGCTTGACCATTGAAGGGAGGTCAATATTTAAACGAGGCTTAATTTTCTAATTATGAGTAGTTGTTTGTTTCGTGAGCAATAAAATAATTTAAAACATTTTTAACGATACAATAGCGATGATTATTATTTTTAAAAAAAATTTGTTAGGCTTAACATCGATGAAAATTCCATGCGAAGTTGGTTAATAGCGATATACTAATTACATGAGATATACTAATATACTATACTAATAATGTATTTTTTTCGGTTATCTGATTTTTCAGTTATCCAACCAACCGGAGTCCCCAATTGAGTCAGATAATCGATGCTCTACTGTATAGATATACATAGGTTAAATAATGACTGTTGCCAGAGTAAGCACACACTGTACATGAATATACAGAAAATGCTTTGTTTTTAAATAAATATTGTCAGGTAGCATTTGTTAATTGCTTTTGACATTAACTTGTTACTTGAAACAGATGGATTTTATTTTTCTATTACCCTGTTTTTGTACATTTGTAGTTTTAAAAAGTAGCATTGGTGTTTTTCTCTGACAGTATAATAAATTTAAAAGTACCAAGAATAAATGAAATTTATAGTTTTGGGAAAAAATCACATTTGCCATTGAAATTCGAAACACCAACCTCACCAGTATGAAACCAGTGTGCCCCCATTGAGCCATCAGCCATGCTACAAATGATGGCAATTCTAAAAGATTTAAATAATTTGCAATTTTTATCTTTACTTTTCTCATATAATTTTGAGTATTGAACATTACTGCTTGGCACATGTCAATCATTGGAGGTGCACTATAACCTCACTAAGTTTGATGAAAACCAGTGATCCAACATCATGCCATCCCTTCATCAGATAGTGTGGAACGACTCCATGATATAATGTTACATTTTTCAATGATCAATCAAGGTGCCCCACTTCATGAAATTGTGTTCATAGATGAAGTGTAGGTTGGTTTGCATTCAAATGACAACACTACTAGCATTTGGAGATTATATAGTCAGTGTTACTGTGCCTCCTCTGCTATTGTCATCACAAGCAGCAAGGTGATATTGCTGTTCCAGTAGGATTGTCAGGTCACTGAACACCCGTGGTCCCAGTCTGCATTCAAGACACATGACTAGACGGAAGTATCAGACCAGCATTGTGCAGCCCACCATTAGTGCATTTGCAGAAGTTGTCGGAGAAGGATTCACTATTGTGGATGATACCTCTCCACATCCTGCCCATATTGTGAACTACTTAGAGATAAAAGGAATTTGCATGATGGCTAAAGTGACTTTTTTTGACAAACCAATAGGTTTTGGTGTGTTTTCTTACCATGGTTGAACAGCAAACTTTTGTTTTGTCATGTGTATGAAATATGGGCGGGCACCTTGTATTCATTTTGTAAGATCTTATTATATTGCATAATAAAGACATGCTTCATTGCTGCTACATTCTCAATTTCAGCAACACTCCAAATTTTTTTGAAGAGTGTATAATTTAGAATTTACTTGGGGGGATACTTCAGTTTATGGACAAATCTTACCAGAGATTATCATGATGTCATAATTTATGATTTGCTTAATGACATATTTCAGGTAACTATGCAGGTTAAAATGTAAGGATCTTCTGTATTTTCTATTTTATCAATACAACTAGACATGAGCTTTGAGGTGTTGAAATTTCTTGTAAGATTGCTTGATGGCTCAGTTAAATCTTAGTACTTTTTATTTACTGGATATAAAGCTTATAAATATTACATATTGTTGTAGTTATTAATAATCTTATTTTATGACAGGCCACCAAAGATGCCGGTCAGATTGCAGGATTAAATGTCTTGAGAGTGATCAACGAGCCCACGGCTGCAGCACTTGCTTACGGAATGGACAAAACAGATGATAAGGTGTAAGTTCTTGTGAAAAATTCTGATTGTCAAAAATTCTGATAGTAAAACCTAAATTATGTTTACTTACATAAAAATATAGTACAGGTTTTGTGAATGGCAATGCTTGCATCTTACATCTATATCTTTGTATATTTCCTGTTACACTAAGCAGTACATATTTTCTGTAATTTATATGATAGATTAAAATATATAAAATTAATTTACAACTTTATATTGGTTCCTAAGGTATAAAAGTGTTACCCCATCACTTTTCACTATTTCACTTAATATCTCAGGATGGGGTAAAGATTAAGTAACAAAATTTGGCATACTGGCTTGTATATGAGGGGCATTGATGATAAAATTTGGAATTTGGTGGTTAAAGATTGAAGGGGTGAAGAAATAGTGAGTCTTGTGTATCTTTTAGTAGGTTCATAATGACGATTTTACTCGTTAACATTTATACTTTTTTATAAAAATCATCTCTACTCTCAAAATTAAGCTTTTTTCCATTTTATAGTAATTAAAAATAAAACTTATTTTCTAAATAAGATCTCATAATAGCTGGGAAAGTAATGCAACTTGTTGCTGGATTGTTTTACTCTTTGGCATCAGAAATATATTCCACTTTTTCAATCTTCAACAGGAAAAACATCACTGATTTCTTTTCAGCTTTGTTTTGTTTAACCACTCTGATATACACTGCTGCACACTTAAACAGTAAATACTATCTCCTCCTCATTTTGTTAGATTTGAAAGTCATTTAGATCATTAATTTATTTTTATTCATAAATTAACTTTATAATACAGAATTTGTACCATTAACAGGACACAGGTCAAATTGGTGTTCTGTTGAATATTGTACAAATTTAAACTCATAGGTATGGCTATCAAAGATGTTTGTGTGTGGGAGCCAAATCTCAACAGGAACTTTCCTAAATAGTTCCATCCCTTGCATATTGGCAGTGAACACTTATAAACAAACTTTTAGTTTAGTATCGTACTAAAATCAGTGCTAATCTGTCAGTTTCAAAAGTAACAAATGACACTAAATCAAACTTTGATTTCTAAATTGTGCATGTGTTTAATAACATGCACAATTAACGTTTAACTTTAGATAATTTCTCTTAATTAGTAATGTATTAGGAAAATTCATATTTGAGGCAGAGCATTGGTGAAGTCTCTTCTATTTGACTTACAGGATTGTGTTCATTTTCAAAATCTGTTTGATTGATTTTTGATTAAACTTTGTTATTTTCTGTTAATTAGGATGAGGAGTCCAAAAATATAATTAAAAACTGAGGTCAATGACTTTGTTTTTAAGATATAAGGTTTGATACACGAGTGCATGACAAAGCAGTATCTCATGAATCACACAACTTTGTTTTGCAATGTTTTGCCATCACTAACATGTCTTCTATGGGCTTTGCTACAGAATAGAGTTCATTCTCAAAATTTAATGGGCTGATTTTGATAAAACTGTGCCATTTTCCATCAAGTGTAATGAGGAATCCAAAAACGTAGTGTTGACCATTTAAATGTAAAAAATAGAAGTTTGTGACTTCATTTTTGATATACAAAGGTATTAAAATGACAATGTCCACACACTGATGTGACTGAATGTGTGTAATGTAATTTAGTCCTAGAGGTCAAAACTAAAGACAGATTGCATGCACCTAATAGAAAGTAAATAAAACATAAGAACAAAGCAATCAATGGCTATTTCTTTGTTCTTGGATATCCTCTCTGTGTCGGCAAGTGCAAGGATTGCCTCTTTTGTGCTGGAAAGTGTAAAGTTTACCTGTCTATGTCCATCATGCAGGGATTGCACCTTTTTTTCCCCCTGCTCCACCTCAATTCTATCATGATGCAACAAGTCACACAATGTCCTAGTATCCATTTTTATTTAATACCTGGTGACATAAATGACTTTCTTCTTGATCTCACCCTCACTCATTTTCTAAATTGCATATTTATTGTTAATTTCTGCATTGGTATCGCAGTTACATAAAAGTTTCCATTGCTTACATAATTTATTGGATATGTAACAAAAATATAAAATTGGAAATATTTATTATATAAAGGTTGTGTCAATGATGAACATAGTCATAAGTACTATAAAGGTAACTAGCTTCAATTATAGAATATATAGTGTACTTGTCTCATTTTAAAGGGTTAATGATGATTGATATTTTTCGTCTCTTAATATCTGTGTAGATAGAATGCAATCTGAAATTTCAAATTAAATACTTTTTTCTTAGTTGTAAATTTATGTTTTTTGATGGGTTTTTTTCAATAACTGGTTTCAGAATTGCAGTATATGATCTTGGTGGAGGAACTTTTGATATCTCCGTTCTTGAAATTCAGAAGGGTGTCTTTGAAGTCAAGTCTACGAATGGAGATACGTTTTTGGGTGGTGAAGATTTTGATAATTATCTTGTAAACTTCTTAGTTAAAGAATTCAAGAGAGATGTAAGTTTGTGTGTTGCTGTGAGACAACTTAAATTTTTATGATATTAATTATTTTATTCATTTATATTTTTAGCAAGGTATTGATTTGACAAAAGACAATATGGCAATGCAACGTCTGAAAGAAGCTGCTGAAAAGGCAAAAATTGAATTGTCTTCTTCTCTCCAAGTAAGTATAAAAATAAATGGTGTTGTATGTGTTGTCTTTCAAGGTTAAAACTTAAAATGTCTTTCATTGTAGACTGATATAAATTTGCCATATCTCACAATGGATTCTTCTGGACCAAAACACATGAATATAAAACTTTCCAGGTCAAAGTTTGAAAGTCTGGTACAGGACATCATTAAAAAGACTGTTGAGCCTTGTAAAAAAGCCATGAGTGATGCCGAAGTTAAGCAGAGTGACATAGGAGACGTAATTCTTGTTGGTGGAATGACAAGAATGCCAAAAGTATATTGATTTTAGAACTGTTGATAGTTTATGCATTTATAATTATTTACTAATAATTAAAAATGATTTTAAATTGTTTATCTGTATAGGTTCAGGAAGTTGTTCAAGAAATATTTGGTAAAATGCCAAGTAAAGCTGTAAATCCTGATGAAGCAGTAGCAGTTGGTGCAGCTATTCAGGTATTTTTCTTTTTATTTTCTTATTTAAGTTTATAATTATTGTTTTATATAAAAATTAATTGAATGCTTAGGGAGGAGTTTTAGCAGGAGATGTTACAGATGTTCTCTTGTTAGATGTAACACCATTGTCTTTAGGTATAGAAACACTAGGAGGAGTATTTACAAAGTTAATAAATCGTAACACAACTATTCCTACTAAAAAGAGCCAGGTAAACGACTCTTCCAAATATAAATTTAAATTTTTCTTCTTTAAATTTCTTCTTATGCAATATTTGTTTCTAGGTGTTTTCCACTGCAGCCGATGGCCAGACCCAAGTAGAAATTAAAGTCTGTCAAGGAGAAAGAGAGATGGCTGCCGATAATAAATTACTGGGACAGTTTTCATTGGTATGTATCATTACACTATATCTTTAGAAAAACAGCATTCTAGCATTATCACTAAATGAACAAAAATATCATTCAGGTTGGCATACCTCCCGCACCCAGGGGAGTTCCACAGATTGAAGTCTCCTTTGACATCGATGCTAACGGAATCGTTCACGTGTCTGCAAGAGATAGAGGAACCGGAAAAGAACAACAAAGTGAGTTTACTATAGAAAAAAACTATTTTGTGTTTCGATTTTAATTATTTAAATTATCATAATTCATTGAATGTATTCTCCATTTTCCCCCTCTCTTGTTGTTGAGTTTGGTGATGTATTGGACTTCAATTATACTAAATATTCTTTCATAAAACAACTTACAGAGATGAGCTGAAACCCAATTGAATTCTCATAATTTACCATGGGTAGTTCAGATTAGGAATAATATTCCCCATCTCTTAACTATTATGACTGATCCCTTGCATGTCGGATCTATTCATAATAGGTATAATTAGATCTTCCCTAAATCTGAATATCCATACCAGTAATTTTTCCATGCAGTTTGAATGCTTTTAATGCTGTAGATGCACAATCTAGAAAAAATAGAAAAAAAATCTTGGGTACAAATTAGACACTGGACGAACTTTTTCTGTACGACAACTGAATGAGGCAAATGAGAAATTAATAGGAGTTTGAAGTTTTTAATAAAAGGATTGGAAAGTATAAAAATGAAAAAAAAAACGATTATTTTTTCCGCAAAGAACAAATATGTTGCTAAGATGATTGCCTGTTGATCATCCCTCTTAAGTTTATTCTCCTTTCACTTTCTGGCTGTTATGTATACATAAAAGGGAAAGTATTAGAATCCTGTAAATTTGACCTTCAGTTTTTTGCAAATCTACATTTTGAAACCTTCTGAATCCAAAAAACTAAAAAAAAAAAGACAGTTCCTTCTGTGAGGTGGCGTCTACTTTGCTTAATATCTCAGGATGGGGTAAAGATTAAGTAACGAAATTTGGCACGGTGGCTTGTGTATGAGGAGCATTGATGCTATTAGAATTTGGTTAAAGGTGGTGGAGGTGGGAAAATAGTGGGTCGTGTATAACTCCAGTAGTCAGACTTAGACGATTTTAGTTGTTATTAACACACATACTTCTTTTTTTATAAAACTTATCCATACTCTCAAAATGAAGCTTTTTTCCATTTTATAGTAATTAAAAATATAAAAAGTTTTTCATAACAAAATCTTATAATAGATGGCGTTACAAAATTTATATTGTTTAATATAAAATTTTTTAATGAAAACTCATAACAGCGAAGAAAGTTGCACAACTCTCGTTGCTGGATTTTTTTCACCAGATCGCATACAAATGAATTAGAGGATATATACAGTGCAAATCACACAAAAGGTTATGATTATATGCCTGCTTTGGTACAGCAAAATCGCTTTGTGGATATACCAGTCTTAATTGCACTCTCATTTATCAGCTTTCAGAAATCTCATCTTTAAAGTATTTATAAAATACCATTAAGAGCTCTATTCCATCTTTAATTTCTTAGTTTTGGGTAAAAACTCGGAATAATTTATCTAATATTTCAGTTTTAATTAAGATGTCGGTATTACGAAATTATAATTCAAATAAATTTTAATCTGCATTGCATATTAGTTAAATTTTTTACCAGAAGATTAAATAAATAACTCCTTTCATTATACAGATCCTATTAAACAAAAGATTGTCATGCAAATTTATAATTAAATTTTGTTTTAGAGTTATTGGCTGTTCCGATCCTTTCCATAAAGTCTCTGCTCTGTTATAATTGTTTCAAAGTCCAAAACCTTTGAAGAAATTTGCCTTTTTTTTTTAAATACTGCTTTATAATAGATAATCAAAAACAAGAATTTACATTGTAATTATTGGAAGTAGAAAAATCGAACCAATTGCGAATTTTTTCACTTCGTGGCACGAAAGAAATTCCATTAAACATTTTGAAATGCTTTAATCATCTTCTATCAAAACACACTAGCCGGTGGCGACCTTGAAAACAGCTGTTTCTATAAACAAATTTCCTAAAGACGAAGGACGATTATACTTTCCCTTAGTGAAAAAATATACTAGTTTGATGAATATGCCAGTAGTTTAATGGACGTGTTTTGAAAGTACTAAATTTAAATTATATATTAAAGTTCTTGAAAATATTTTTACGTAACGAAAGGAAATATTAAAAATGATCTTTTTTTTTAGATATCAAAGCGGTCTATTAAATAATAATTTAAAAAAAAAACCCGTCGAAAGTTGAAATTCTATTTTGAATTTAATTCCGCTGGTCTCGTGATGTGTAACGCATCCTCGAATGCTTTGTCTGGTTTTGTCTTTCAAAAAAAAAAGTTTTTCGCGAGTTTTTCTAAATAAATTCTTTATTATATTTGGCAATTGGATATATAAAAGGTCGTAACCTGTATATTTTTTACGGTGGATGTACGGAGCGACCGAAAATTCGGTAAATTTAGAGATACAGTAGTTTGGTGACCCAAAAGTCTGTTCATATTTGAAAGCTATTTTTATTTTCCGAAATTTTAAATATTATTCATTCGAATAATTTTAATTTGGTACGGTAGATCTTGTTTACCGTAATCACTGTGGGACTTTTATAGTCGTGTGTTGAGATTATTAGCGCATAAAGTGTATAAAAAAAGATCTGTTTACCAAAGATAATCGACGTTTCTATAACACGTGTGTTTCAAGACTGGCTAATTTCAATAACATCCGTGATTACAAATCCGTGAAAATAGTTTCTTAACCATATCTACCCTGTTCGATTTGGTTTATTTGATTGCGACAAGCGGGCGATCTTTCGAGACGGATGTCTTTCAAGGGAACTTTTATGGGAAACTGGGCCTTATTTAGGTATTACGAACGTGGAGAAACCCCGAAAACTCCGTTGGAGGGGCGCGAACCCACGACCGACCACCGGTGTTCGATGATTTATCCACTGGGCCACTGGTGAGCCTTTGAATTCTCGCGTTACAACTGACTTTGTGAATTATAATAGAGACGTGGTTTCGTCTCTTCCTATGCGAAACGTAAAAATCAATGTAAAAACACATTTCGAGTGACGAAAAGCCCACTCGTCATATCTCTATAGGCATCTGGCAAAACCAGTTTTTATTCTCCTTCCTCGCTATATATTTGTGGGAATTGACTACCGCCAAACTAGGAACAGTTTTGGGGTATTTGTCACCGAAGAAACTTGTTTAAATTTTCTGATTATTTTCGTAAGGAAGAGGTAAAGATACGCTGAATATTTACTTGGCCGGCCTTTAGAAGGTGGTGGTCCTTTTTCAGACTAATTTGTACATTCGTGACATCTCGAGCGTTGATATTAGTCCATTATCAGATGTTTGCTATTACGGGATTTACACTATTAAAATGTTCTAGTCAAAATCTTTTAAAGCATAGATGACTTATCCCCGTGTTTAACATACAGATGCTAATTATAGGAGTATCTCTCTTAACGTTTAGTGTATCCGTACTCATATATTACGGTTTTAATCAAACTATAAAATCGAATATTATAGAAATCCTTATTTATAAATGCCTGGAATGATTCTCAGCTCCTAGACAGACCTCAGATTTTGACATACAGCGTAGAAATACGTCGATTCGCCTCCGTAATGCCATTTCTGTTCTGACAAACTGTTTTTCGTTCTGTTAATAATTTCAAATATAATGCGTTCAAAGCTTCTCGTCCTATTCAATTGTTGTACTTCTTAAATCTCATAACTTGACAAATGTAAGACTTATCATACATGATATGTTTAGGGCAAGATTAATCACTTTGAACTGTCGTTCTTGTATGCATTTCGGGTCTAAACTTCTCTTTGGCACTCGACAATTCTTTAAAAAAACTGGTCCTGGGAGGGAGTCAGTTATAGATTTTATCTAAAAACTATAAAATATTCCACGGGTTAAAAAAAAACTTTAAAAATTCAAAAAAAAATCAAAACACGGTAAATAAAACCACTTAAAATTGTGATCGGCACAACTTATTCGATTAGATAGATATTGATAGATAAAATTTAAAAAAATAAATGATAAAAATATTTTAAAAAAAATAATAATAAAATTTGGAATTTAGAAATAAAATCAATTATGAAAATTATAGAAATAGTGCATGCACGAACCACTGACTTTTCTAGTTTTGACAAAGGAAGAAATATTACAGTTATTACAATATAGCGAATATAATAATTATCCGTTTATCACGTTTGAAGCAACAGTGTCAACGTTTTTAATTAATTTATGAAAAGGATTTGGGAGCGATAAATGATTGAAATTTTCATTCCAATTTTTTGAAAGTTTGAAATTACAAATAAATATTGAATGTTATAAACATCTTTTTCCAAAGCTTGGAAAAAGATAACGGAGAAGAATTCCTAAATTTTGGAAAATTGTAAAGCTATTGAAATTGTATTACAAAGATGTTTTCCAGTTAAAACTAGGACATCGCGATACGATTGAGTTAGAAGCGGAAACAAGCGATTCTTGTATCTGACGGGCCGGACAGGCGAGCTTTGACTCGCCACTACGAAAGAGGTTATCTGCTCCTGCCAGCCACGGAAGAGGCGATCCTTACACTGGCCGGGCGGTTAGTTAATAGTGCAGTTTTTCTCCGCACTATTACGAAATAGTGTAGAGGAAAATTAAAATTGTTTCGTACGGCGGAAACAATTCTTAAAACTTCTTGAGAAATCGAAAACTTTCGGCCCCTTGTCGGCAACATATTCAAAGTAAACACTAAATTCCGAAAATATAATTATTCTCTTGCCGTAGAACGATTGTTGATGCGTATCCCAAGATGAGAAAGTCGAACTGGCCAATTCGGTTAATTTATTAAACGAAACAATGCGTCTGTAATGGCGGGTTACGGTTTGGGAAGACATAACAGAACCTTAGACGAATTCCGAAAATGGCCCGTTAGCCCTTACTCGCTGCTACGAGTGCATTGTTTTTGTTTTCGTGGAAGGTTACCAGCCGCTTGAAGGTTTGAAAGTTATATTGAAATACGGGACTATTTCGTTTACTTCTAAACTTGTTTCAATAAAGGCCCACCAGTGGCCGAGCCAAGCGGTCTTCGTACCCCGAACACTGGGAGTTCGGTCGTGGGTTCGCGTCTCTCTCGGACGGGCTGACCACGTGGAGTGCTCCGGGTTTTCTCCACGTCTGTAACGCCTAAATAGGAGCCAGTTTCCCTTAAAAAGACCTCCCGGAAGGCATTCCCCCTAGGCAGATCGCCCAACTATTTGTTGGGCGATATGCCTAGGGGAAGGCATTCTGTAAATGCCTTCCGGCCTCCGGGAATGTGTTGCGTTGGCATAACTAAACAAAAAAAGTAAGTGTCGAAAAACAAGCGATGTAACGATTTCCATTTTATTAAAACACCGAATTGTGTCAAGTGAAATTTAATTGATATTTTTGTATATATTCAAACAAATTTTTACTAGAGAGAAAATAGGAAAAAGTGCATCTTTTTTGTCACTTGGATAGTTCAACTTATTGTTTCCTTTGTGTAAATTAGTTTTAAAAAATTTGTGATATCGAGGTGTTTGACGGATAGATGACTTTTCCGTAAGTATAGTGTGAATCATTTACCCGTTGTATACCATTTCCCAACTTCTTACGTCATTAAAAGTGCGTATTGCGATTATGTAATAACAATACTAATGAACATGGCTAATTGATACTCGCGTACGAGAATAGACATTATTTTAACATTCAAATTAAGTCACTACTCGGATGGAAACTACTCGAATTCCATCCGTTTAACATTAAATTACGCTGTAAATTGCCTTTTTAATTTTTATATTTGTTAACCGAGCGCGTACACGAGTATATTTTAAATTATATAAAATATATATTTTTTAAATAACGACAATTATTTGTTTCGGGAAAAGAGTCGATCGAGACTTCATTTACTAAAAAAATAATTTTAATAGGGGATGACCCAAAGTCAGTTCACTACACGACGATCCGGATTCTGTTTCTTCCAATTAAACGGCTGATTTTTGGGTCATTCGGTAACATTTTATGTTAAAGTTCATTTATAATGTACAGGATGGCCCTTAAATTATCAGTTATTGCGAGTACTAAACCTTTAAAGTAACGTAAGAAATTTTAAGACTAAACAAAATTGAGTGGCGATACTAGATTTTTATATTAAAACGTGTGTATTTTTGTAATTTCCCTTCAAAATGTATTAGGCATATAACAAATTCTGTCTACGCCGATTTTATTTATGCACGATGCTTCTAAACAGCCACTTTATCTCCAGAGCGAGAAGAGTCGTGCGGATCATCTATCTAACTTAGTTCGGGAGAAAATGAACTGAAATAACGTGACTTCCGGTTTGCATCGGAAGTATATATTGATATTATATAGTTAATCGTTTCCATATCTGGTCTCGACTTTCGTCTAACTCCGTTCTCGAGGGACGGGCGCGAGTGGCAATTTATAAAATGTAAATCGAGGGGAAGACGATGAGTCAATATCTAGGAATGTAGGCCCTCCCTTAAAGTTGAAATGAGGTATATTTAGAGAATATTTAAAGAAAAGTGTTTAGTGTTAACTGTCGAGAATTCCGCTATTATTCTGAGATTTTCAAAGAAAGTGAACGAAAAGCGTTACTCCCTTCATTTCGCGTTTCGCACCCAATCTCTGAGCTCGTCGCTGGCTTTCGCAGATGCCAGAGAAATGTCTTCTGCCTTACGCCATTTGCGGTACTTGGTACTTGTTTGACATTTCGTCGTAAAAACTAGTCACCCGCGTTTGGATTATACACAACTCACGCACGTTTGTTGTGTGTAGTTCGTGAGCATTATTTCTTAATATTTGATCTTAAAATCTCGTAGAAATTTCATTTTAACTAACCCTGTTCAAATAACTGTAATCGAGGCACGAGCTGCTCTTTAAATACGTCTTACAAGGAACTTCGAAAATTGATTAGAGCTTTCGAGTGTGATTCCGATGTTTACCCGAAAGTCTGTACTAAAATTCGATGAAATTGATCCATTTGGTCTAGTTAGCAGATGTTTGCGTTCTTGTCCTTTGTCAGATGTGACAGTTTTATTTGCATATTATGTTGGTTCGGGCGTTAACCTACCGCTCCGTGGTGATCGGACACCCGAGTCGTAACTATTTTCGATAATACTGAAGGTTGGTATCCAATAGCCATGGAAGGCTTATGGTTGAACCACGCGTAAACGCTCGAGAGATGAATCTAACCAGCGGCGGCCTTATCCATTGCGAGGCTCTGGGCGGCAGATCTTTGCGAGGCCCTTGTCCTTTGTGCAAAGTATGTGAATTGAAATAGTAGGCACTTATTAATATTAATATATACTGTACTATAAATTAAATTTATTTTATTGTTATAACTAATAGCCAAGGATAAAATAAAAAGTTTTAAATATCAACTTTTTTCTACTTGGTTGTTGCGCGAGGCCCCGGGCCATTGCCCTGCTCGCCACCCCCTAAGGCCGCCACTGAATCTAACGCCTAGTATGACTGATGTCACGTGAGCCTTAAATTGCTGTTGAATACGAAACCTTTAATACTTTAAATGTTAGAATCCTAATACTTCGTTAACGGTTCCTTTCGAAATTCTCTACTCAATCTACTTAAACCATTGTTCGAAACTGTTAGATAGTCCCCGTATTTTCTTGTATAAATACGTTCGTGTTTCAGTTTGTGAATGAAATTTATCAGAGAGAAATTGGAAATGATTTTTTAAAATATGAATTGCATTATTTGTAATATAATTTATGAGAACGTAACGACAAAATTGGTGTTCAAAGTCACCCACTGCTTGAGACTGGGGAAAATTTTTCGATAAATTCAATTTTCTTAAATAATTGTGTTAAAAGTTTACTGTTTTTAGTGTAAGAAATTAATCGTTAATTTAATCAAATTTAAAACAAATTTTTGATTTAATTATTAAAATTAATTTTCTCCTTTTTTATAGTCGTTATTCAATCATCGGGAGGATTAAGTAAAGACGAGATAGAAAATATGGTTAAAAATGCGGAGATGTTTGCAGAACAGGATAAGAAGAAAAAGGTAAACGTTACGTTTTGTTATTAATTAAGAAGCAATGTTTTTTTATTGTCTTACACTTTTAAAGTGAAAAAAAATGATGACTTTTTTTCGTCTCCTAATGTTTGTGCGGATAAAATGATCTGAATCTATAATTTTTAAGTAAAATTTGAAAAAAAACGGAAGTTGCATCATTAAATACGCGCGAGGATTGTTGCAGAATTCAGAAAATGTACATTATTCATTTGTATCTATAATAGGAAATGGTCGAAATCATCAACCAAGCAGAAAGCATCATCCACGATACGGAAAGCAAAATGGAAGAATTCAAGAGCCAGCTTCCTGCCGAAGAGGTGAGTTTACAAATTAAAAATTTAAAATGACGAATGCTTCAATTTATATAAATATTCTCTTAAAAGTGTGAGAAGTTAAAGGAACAAATAGCCAAATTGAGAGAGAAAATAGCTAATCAAGCAAACGAAAGTATGGAAGATATCAGAAATGCCAAACAGGAACTTCAACAGGCGTCACTTAAACTCTTCGAAATGGCCTACAAAAAGGTAAACACCTCAACTTTTTTTATGACGAAATTTAAATACCGCACTATATGACGAGATATCAATTACAGATGGCATCGGAACGAGAATCGACGTCGTCGTCTGAACAAACATCTTCCAGCGAATCGACAGAAGAACCCGAAAAAGCCAAGAAGGAAGATAAGAATTAAAGAGAAAAATGAAATTGTAGAGTAACAGTAATAAAAACTAGAGTCATAAATTGTTTATTCTTTCATTATTGTCGGTTCAGACTTTTACTTTTCAGGACCTATCATGCTGTAAACATAATCATTGGATGCCTCCTCATTTGTAGTTATGTAAAATTTTATTCTCTTGTTTTCAGTTTATAGTTCGTTTGTTCCGATGGAAGCACATTCCACAATTGCCATTGTATTTATATTTAATAAAATAAAGAGAAAATTTGAAATTTCCGTAGTCATCGTCCAGTTATTTTTGGTATAATACGAGACTGAAATTGAGCCAGGTAATATTAGTACGATGCCGCGCGCCTAATCCGAATCGCTGATTATCCGAACAGCTACCATTCCTTTAACTAAAATAAACTTGTCAAGTATACACTTGCAGCTCATACATAAAACATGTTACGTGTTTTAAGCGAGGATGCTCATTTCTTCTGTGACCCTATGTGACTTAATAACAGTTCTGTTTCGCAGCTAGTTGTGCAACAAAACTACTGCGATGGGTCGAAAACTAGGCCAAGCTGTTCCGTTCCCGGACACAGGGAGTTCAATCGTGGTTCGAGTCTCGCCAGGACGGGCTGGTCACGAGTTTTCCACGTCTGTAACATCTGAAAAGGGGCCAGTTACTCTTAAACGGGCGATCTGATGAGGGGATGCCTAAGTGTTGCGTTGCCGTAACTTATAACAAACCGAAAACAATAGTAGTACCCTCCCAGAACTTTTGCTGCATCATTTACAATAAAAATCTTTGAAGCTTTACGAACAGTAAATTCAGTTTTGAGTTAATTGTACTGCATAAACCCTGTTGTCGAGACATTTTTGTACTGTATCTTTAAATTTCCTTAAACGTTAAACATAGAACACACATTAGTAAAATATACTGAAAATGCTTATTCTTTGTATGTCATTAATATAACTCCCGTTAATTCGAACTCCCGTCTTAATTAGTTGGGATTAGCGCGAACGTACTGTAGTGATTTTTGTAACAACAATCTTAAACTGCAAAATGAAAGATTTATTCGCTTTAGAACAAAAGCTGAAAGTGCTTTTGAGTTTAATTTAAAAACACGAATAATAAAGATGTAGACTGATACTGCCTCTCGATATAACGTATTTAATTGCAATACAAAGTGCAAGACGCGTTTGAATTACTCGAGACAACTCTGGAGATTACGTGTTAGGCATCACTCAACATCTTATAGGCGTTATCTTTGTTGATAATATCAGCATTACTTACGCGATACCTGTAGATACTACAGGTATCGCGTAAGTAATGCTGATATTATCAACAAAGTACTTACGCGATACCTTTAGGTACCTGTAGTATCTACAGGTATCGCGTAAGTAATGATGACTCAACAGGTTCATCAGGAAGATGGTTATAAAACAAGTACAGTCGACCCCCCATAACACGGGTTCCTATAGTTCGGATTCCTATATGACGGCGAGCGCCACGCTACGGAAAGTTTAGGCGGGTAAATTGATTTTACTATCGTCTGTACAGTATTATATACAAATTATATATAAATTAGGTACTGTATATATAATTTTATATTAACTTAATTTATTGTAACTTTATTATAATTATATATATACTTTCCGCCGTCCAGCGCCACGCTACGGAGAGTTTAGGCGAGTAAGTTGAGTTTACTATCGTCTGTACAGTATATAAATTAGGTACCGAAAGTCTAATACAGCACTAATTTTATACGTTTCTTGTGAAAGAAACATTTCTTATTCAACGGCCATAAAAATTATTTATATTAATGGTGTCTCCAAAGTTCAACGAAGTTTTCGCAGAAAAATAACTTATCAGAAATCGCTCCGGCACGTTTGGTGCGCCGCTCCGCGACGAAAACAAGCTTAAGCAATGGCGACGTCGAACGGTGCACACTCGGTAAGTAATCCTACAATTTTTTGTTTATAGCATAGTTTATACCGATTATTCCCAAAAAATTATACGTGTTTTGGAAATGTTGAGTGGAATTAGTCTAGAATCGATTAATTTTATGGAAGAAAACCTTTCAAACAGCCGTAGTCCGTAAACTTCACACGTATCGGGCTGTGATTGGCAAGGTCTCCTAAAACATCAATTTCATAAAAAACGGAATATTAATATACCTACCGTGTTATAGGGGGTCGACTGTATATCTATTTGGAGCTGTTCGTAGCTTGAAGAAATAACTCAAATGAAACTAAACTTGGTACACATAGTATTTAAGAAGGGGAAAGCAAATGGAACAAGGGAAAAATTGCCGATAGAAGGCGCTGTAAAGTTTGAACATAATGCGTAATACAAGAAAGAATTAAGGTACAAAAACTGATGGCATACCGGTATTGGAAAATGTCAGTTAATGCGGTTACGCTGTCGCACGACGTTGACGATCCAGTTCAGATTCCACAATATTATGGAACCTGAACTGGATCGTCAATGTCATAACATTTTTCAATAAGTACCGGTATGCCGTCAGTTTTTACAACTTAATTCTTTCTTCTTATATTACACATTATATTCAAACTTTACAGCGCCCTGTATCGGCAATTTTTAACCAATTTTTTCCCTTGTTCCATTCTTCTTTTCCCTTCTTAAATAGTAGGTGTACCAATTTTGGTTTCATTGGGTTATTCCTTCAAGGTACCGACACCTCCAAAGAGGGATACTTGTTTTATAACCACCCGATATATTTGACGTCCGGATGGCCGAGCGGCCAAGGTGACAGCCTACCGCTCTGGGGGACCCGGGATCGAAACCGGTCGGGTCGAATAATCCCCAGGAATTTTTCGGGGGTTGTTCCGTCCGGATATGTCGGGCCCCGTCCCTCACCACCCGGCCGCCCCATTGTGGGCCTGGTTGTACCCATAATGGGCTTGCAAAAGACAGGCCCTCTTAGTAACCACAGGGCGGAAAGAGTAAAAGAAAAAAACAACCCGATATATCAACATGTGTGACAGATTTTGTGAAACAGTACTGTTTGAACTTGGAAATTTCTAAAAGTTTAAAATAACAATATAATTAAATTTAAACACGATTAAGAAAAAACAATACATTAGAAGTAATATTTTTCTATTGGTTTTTCTCTTTGTTTACATAAATATAATGAATAGCAAAAAGAAATTTCTGTCGACAGTAAAATCAAATGAATATTTTTTAATGTTTTTATTTTCTGGTGAATTTTGGCTAAACAAAATACATGGTTAATTTGGCTTGAAAAACAAATGTTTATCGGATTTTCTTTTAATAATATTAATAATAATAAACGCAACTCTTCCAGGGAAACGTAAGGTGCTTTTGGAATAAACATTCACCTGTGGTTGCCTGTAAATTGGATAAACAAGAATCCCAGTTTTATTCTACAGTCACGTCGATGGGGGGATTTGAAACGTTCACTGTTACAGACACTGCATCTTATAGAACACGCCCTTATCCATTACTTCTCTCTGCCAAGATAAACGTATGTCATTGGGACAAAAATATCCGAGTGGGCAAGCACATTTGCGCGTGACGAAACTGTTCTCGTCACTGTAAGTTTCCGTGATGGCCATGCACGTGTCGCCCAGGCCGCATAGGGGAGGCTGCAATGTTAAGTAAATTTTAGCTTCGTTAACCGCAGAGATGGAAGTGAGTAATTCGGACTTACCGGCTTGCAGAGATAACTCGTCCTGATGGCCATAATTCCGTTTTGGTACTGATGGAAGACTGTGTTGTTGGGAGTGAACAGGTAAGTAGGCGGGCACACGCAGTGCACGTAGATGTTGCTGATTAGAGTCTGTCCGGTCAAAGCTGACATTTCTACGTACGAACTGTAAACTGTATCGTGTGTGTTACATAATTCCAGTTGAGGCGAACTACTGCAATACTAAAAGAGAAAAACGATTGTTTTAAAGTTGTCAAAAACAACGAAAATGAAACACCCGTATGACGGTATCCGGCACAATTTTTAATTTTCAGGAATTAATACGAAGAAAATTCTGCACACAATTTGTTAAAAGTAACGACGATTGTTAGTGTTTTTTCCATTGTGACATTAAAACGGGAGTAAAGAATCGTGTCCAATTCTTTATATCTCATAAAACGTACTTTTCGTTAGCATCTGACGAAGTATTGTATAAAAAATTCAATTTGATTAACGGTGAACGAGAGTGGAGTAAGAAAAAACAAATCAATTAAAAGAAGGAAAATTTTATAGAAATCTTCCTGGAGTGAGCTGCGAAATATTTTGCACTTTCGCGGTCAGTACTTCTCTAACGAAGATAATCGCGTTAGTTCCTAGTTACGGATTCGAATGAAAATAAAGCGATTATTCTAACCCCATGAAGCGTTGCTGCACTTCAATCACTTATATTTCTGCCATTCGCTGGCGTTAAGGAGTAATCTTATTGAAATATGGATTAATCGAGCACTCGAAGAGTTAATCAATCGAGTGAAGGAAAACACCTAGTGTTGATCTTATGCCGAATGTTTTGCCAAATTATAATCCGTGCTTACCTTATATTGATCGTTACCGTGCGCTATTGTCCTTCCGTCCATTAGATCCCAGATGAGGGGGCAACTTTCATCGGGACAGCGACAGAGCTCGATACTACTCACCCCTCTTCTGTTGAGTTGCACGTAACCGCAGACTGTGTTACGTTCGCACAGAGGAAGGTCCTAAAATTGAAGAGAAATGTAGAAGAGAGGGTATAAACTTTTAATGAAGATTGAGGTGAATAATTATCGCGATAAAAGTAACCGTAATGGATGAATATCATCCCAAGAGTAGAATAGAGAAGTGGAACGTCATTAATTAACACACTCCACCCTTTACGTTTTAATTATTATGATTGATTTAATAAAAATTAATGTTCCGAAGACGTTGTTTATTTCGCAACCTTAAAATATTCTTTACTCGATAAACCATTAATTATCATTTTGCCTGGTGTGTTTCTGTTGATATCTGAAAAACAAACTCCAGTTATACGCAGGAATAACACGGGTAATAAAGATAATTGATAAAGTTATCCTTCTTTACCAAAATATAAAAAAAATCTACGACAGATGATGAAACGGCGCTCCTCTGCTGGATACGAAAATCAATTTTACAGATATAAAAAAAAAGTTGAAGATATCGCAGTTTGTCTGTCTGTATCGATGTTAATATTCTAATTTCGGGGTTCCGCGTTTGGCTTTTGTCGTTTGGGATCGAAGTGAAGTTTTTCTTTAAAAAAGAAAAGTTTATACTCGCTTTTTCGGTATCGATCGAATATTTTATTTTGTTCGGTGCTTTGGCTAACATCTGGGAATTTATGATCGATACCCTCGCAGCTCCTTTTTATCGCGTCAAAAATACACAGAGAACTTTGCACTCAACTGCTACAATCCTTTTTATACGAAAATATATATATATGTATGTATATATATAGTCTATATATAGTTTGAGTTAGCATTTATGAGAAGTGACAAACGTACGAGAAAACAGCTTCTGTTAACGCTTTACTTTTGCAACCTCGTATCGATTTTTTAATGGATAGAATTTTATTAAAACAAAACCGTTCCTTATACAGTTGTTATTTAATTAATTTACACTGCAGACGAGTGGCACTTTTGCTCTTATTTACTTTAAATTGTGTTTTCTTTCTCGATGTTTTCGTATTTAGAGCGCTCACTTATGTAATTTTGGTTTAAATTTTTTTTTATTTTTAAATTGAGAATTATACAGAAGTGGACGAAATGGATCGTAAAACGAGTTTCATTTTGTGTTAAAGTATCGTAAAAGCCAAAATGGAAAACTTTATCTATGCAGTAAAAGTTTTGCTGTGTTCGTTTAAAACTGGAATACAGCGAAATCACGTTTTTGGACTTTAACGAGAGGTAACAATTGATAAGATTTTCCGAAAAGAACACGTATTTATACTTAATTTCTACCAATTATATCCAACACTCCGTGAAATCCTAGCTTAAATGAAAAAAGTGTGCGCTTTAACGAAGAAGTTTAGTCTTTCTGCTTGATTTTTCTTTGTTAAAACGCGTTTAAGTGTAACTGTCATTACCTAAACAATCTTACAAATGTAATTAAAGTAGGATATGAAATTTCCTGATATCCGAGATTATACGTTGGACAGTACAAATTGACGGTCTCTCGAAACATCAATAGAGTATTCGAAACATTACCAAAGTATTCTGAATGGGGTTAATTAATGTTTGTAATAGTTCCAGTTTACATATCTTCGGTTGCTGCAGCGCAGATGTTATTTCGAAATTAAAGTGTATTCGGGAAGCGAGCTGCATTATTTACGCATCTCGTTCGGTACTGTTAATGTGTTCCGTTAATTACATAATATAAATTCGTGTAAATCTTACTCGACAAACTACACAATGTCACTCGCTAGTTTAATCAACAATTGAAAATGTACGAATAGTGAAAGCTCATCATGCGCATCACACACGACTCTGCCGGATTCCAGTCGATGGAGTAATGCGCGAATTATGCATCGTAAAAAGTTCATTCACGGAATCACAGATCCCGAACTACACACAAAAACTGTAGAAACGATCGTTTAGAGTTGGTCGGGTAGTGAATAGAGTGAATACTACGGAGCAAATATTGAATTTATGTTGTATTACAGCAGATAATACCATAAAAACTGTGACTGACGATCGTCGTTTTTATGTTAGAAACCCGGCAGCGACGTGATCCCCAGTTTTATTGATACTAGGAAAGTTAAAGTATTTTAATAGGAAAATAGAAAAATACCGGTTTTAAAGCTACTTTTGTACGAATGGAAACCGTACACGTGATCAATATCCATCCATTTCGTATAAAAATTCGTAATATATTAAATCCTCTTAAAATGGTTGACGTAAATTAAGAGCTTTTGCTATATTTGAAACTTCGATTGCCTTTTATCATCTCTTTATTTTATTAACTTCAATTTATAAAAGACAATTAAACTATCTTTAGAGAATAGGGACAAACAAGAATTCGCTTTTAATCCTTTTGTTAATTCTAAATTGCTCGATAATCCCTAGCGTTTCTTTATAAAGAAGAGTTCATTCTTGTTTCGATAGAAGATTACAAACTTTATAACATAATTAACAATTTTTCTTTGTTGTATCGCGTTTATTCTTTCGATAATTTAATAACTTAGAAAAAAATTGCATTTCTAAATATATATAATTTCATTCCTTCCAATTTTTAATTCCCTCAACGCAATGTATTTGTATGGAAGTTATCGAGTCTAAAAGAGAAAAAACAATGTTAGAAAAAGGGATAATAAATCATTATCATGGCAGGAATGGGAAGTGGCTCTTAAAGTAAATTAGAGCATAAGGTTTAATATCCATCACGTGATAGCTGCTTAAAATTCAGAAAGTCGTTAATAAAGATTTACACAATTCGTAGATGAAGATAATAGAAAAAAAGAACAAACTTTTTCTTTTTTTGACAACAATTGAAAAGCATCTTTAACTCTCACGTGTCTCACAAAAGGAACAAACTTCATTCATCTTATCAAGAATAATATTCATCAAAAGGCTTCTTTCGTTCCATTCACTTAACTGAAACATAAATTTTTCCGCAGCTTGTTCTTTTCTTTGTCAGACATCCAAGAAGAAGGAAAAAATTTCTGATCATTAAACTATACAATGGCGATTTTAAAACAAATTATAATTCTAACCAGTTGAAAAAATGCATCTGTACAAAAATCATAAGTTTTTCATTATTAAAAATAGAAAAACTTCAAACGAAATTTGTCTTCGCCCGGGTTTATAAATGAATATTATATTTTCTTTCTAGAATTAAAAAGTTCGTAAATAATGTAGTGACTTAGCAATATCTTTTACATAAATCCTATAGGCATTTTGTAAAGGACAGGCCTGATAACTTACAAAACTTATAATCAGGTCTATCTCCTTATAAAGTGAGAACAACTGGACTCGGAACTTTATATAAACCTTATGTAATATTTTTCATGGATAATAATGATATTTTAATGGTCCGGAGTTATTTAATGCGTCTCTTTATTAAAACAAGTTTCTTTTCTTGACACATAATACGTAAAAAATGACGATGTCCTATTAGTTGTACTACAGAACTGTAAATCTATCTGAAAAATTGACATCTTAAGAATTTGTTTTTTATTAACTTTATTATATTTGTATATGATTATAATAAAATGTCCCTCATAGATTGAATTACATAGACCTTCTAGGGATGGCCCTGCAATCATATAATGTTCCCTATTTACAAAAGAAATAGTTTTCAATTTTTTTCCGTATTGTTCGAAAGAAAAATGTAAGCGAAAAACAAAAAGAAAGCTAGAAAGAAAACATAAATTTTCCTTATACTACATAAAAATATATGAAAAATATCTACTGCAATTTCCAGCGGTCCAGCGGAAGAAAAATAATATGAAGTTTGTATCTGCAATAGAAATATCTGTTCGATATCTTGTAACAATACAATACAAATCAAGAAAATTATATATGTATATATTTTTTTTAACCTAGAATANATTTTCATTTTATCATTTTTATTGAAACTTATTATTATTATTCGTTTTCATCGGGAAAACATTTCAAAGTGTTGTTTCAATTCTATTTATTTATTGGAGTGCTCGTGGATATACGATATTTTTTGTTTCTCCGTCTGGTGCGTACACGAATAAATTGGAAGGTTTTCTGACGCATGAGCCGGCCACTTACAGTTGTCCACGCGAGAAGCACGGATTCTCCAAATTTAGCCCACACACTCGCAGCGATTGTCAGAAGCACGATATTCCCCATTTATATATATGTATATATTTTTTTTAACCTAGAATATATAAGAAATGAAAAATATCTGTCAGAAAAGTGCATTAATTAATTTGATATTGCTTAATATTCTTATAAAGATAAGCAGAAAGAAAGAAGAACATGGAGTTCTGACAATTTTTGCTAAAGAAGAGAGTTCAACAGCTGTGGGATCTGAAGAAAAACGTTTTAAGAAAATGAGAATGCATAATATATTTTCAACAAGAAAAATTTAAAACGATACAAACGGTTATCCCAAAATTTTGTAAAGGATTCTATATTAGAGAAAAATTAAATTGCTTAAAAATTTAAACTCATTAAACTTTGATTATCAGAGCTAAAACTAACTATTGAATTTTTCATGAAATTAAATCTGCAATACGAGGTAAATATGGGATGTTTAATAAAATCTTAAAGAAAAAATAAGAGAGACGTTTTTAAAAAAGCTTAAAGTAATTGAATTTTTAAAGATCTGATGAGTTATTAATTAATACCATACGAAGAGACAACGTTAACCTTTATGGGAATTTTGTAAAGAAGGCAAATTATTAAAGGAAAGCGACTCGAGAGTGCGTGTTTTAATGTGTTGTTATCGCTAAATAGCTAGAAATTTAATAAATACAGAGACAAACCCATCAAAATATCATATTACGTGTCTTTAGCTTATCTATTTAATGATTAATCAATTTATAATAATTTCTACTCTTTCAAAACTCACTCTGGTCCTTATTATCCTTGTTAACGACAATTAATTACGATAATTACTCGTATAATTCCCACACGAGGACAATTAATGATTCGTAATATAAATCTGTCACGATAATATGTTCGGCCAACAGAAATATTTCGTGTAAAAGTCGCACGAAAAAGTCATGCCGTTTACAAGAATGTAAAATGATCTTTCTCTTGATTGTTTTGCCAACATTTCTCAACCGATTCGTGATGGTAATTCCAATTTCGAGTGTGGTCGGAATAATTTAATTTCTCTTTTTCACAAATATTATTCATTGTCTTTTGTGCACGTTTATGGCGATTCGTCTTTAAATTTATAAATAGCATCTGTATTGCTCAGAGAATATCTTATAATAGTTTCAAAACAAACTGCACGAGCATGTAAGATTCAAATTACTCATCTGGGACTGATTAACGTGTAGTTTGTTTGGTAAATGTCCTACGCAGTTTTTGCTGATTACATTTTAATAGTCGATATTATCAATTATTTATCTAAATTCGAAAGTCGGCAATTAAATTCGTATTCGTTTTCATTATTCCGAACATGCAACAGAACGTCTACAGTTATTGACTACAAAACAGATGCACTAGTACTCAATATGACAAGCTCAGAAGGCGGAAAAATAAGATTTACGAAAACTATCCTTCTTACAAATTCAAACAGCTGGCACTCTTTAGTCGTAACAAAAGTAGAAAGCGAGAATACATTTTTTTTAAAGAAAAACCCGGGTACTCGTTAAACTGCATCACAAATCTGAAGCACGTAATAGAAAAAATGTATTGTCACGGTTGCCTAACTGTTACGGTAGTTTTCTCTAAAGTATAACAACAATGTTTTATAATTTAAAATTTGGAATGTGCTCTGATGTGTAAACTTGTATATTAAACATAAATTATTATAAAAAAGCGAGGAAAAAAAAATTACCTTAAATTCTCTTTCACCTTCTCTTGTTCTAGCCGCAGAGGAACTAAAAGTCAAAGCAATTGCCAACACCCAAAAGATAGTACTAGGTGAACACGTGACCGCACCATTAGTTGTACACATGATGGATCTCTAATGTAATTCTGGAAAACATAATAAATAGAATCGTTATTTCTTCATTTTAAACTTAAAAATAAAGTAAGAAGGCGGACAGTTTGTTGTAATCTCATAACGTTTTTCATATGGTGTCAGTTTAAACAGTGAAATTTATGAGGACATTTTAGTTGTGCAACCGGAAACAATGTAAACAATAGTCGCAAAAAAGGGATTATTTTATTCGATCGTGTAAAACGACCATAACTTCGCGTTGAAATATGTCTCTGGGGAATTTCATTCAATTATTTATTGCATCTGAATATAGATAAATTCTAAACAACGTTACCTTTCGCAGAACTCTTAAATCTCCATTCACTTACCGGAATGATTTAGAAGATAAATAAAACATAAAGTAACGATACAATAGCTCTTATACATCTCTATTTATCATAAGAGAAGCAAAACATCTTGCTTCTATATTTTAATACCTTTCATTCGCATGTAAACTGAGGAGATTTGTGAATGTCGTCACGTGGTGGTAACTTTCTATAATATTAATTCTATTTTTAACAGATTTATATAAAGCCCGAAGGGGAATAAACATCAAAGAGAAGAAAGTAATAGAAATTTTCCAACCCGAAATAGGAAATGTTCCATTTCTGATAATCTCAAACACGGCCAGGAAGTGTTAAAACCGTTAACAGAGTTCATTAATTTAATTTCTAATAAGTAGAATGCACGGTGACAGAATAAATTGATCCTATTGCGTGTAACGATAAACCTAAACGGATATAGAGAACCCTTCAAGTTATTAAAACAATTCAGAATTGAAGTAGGTAATTAGTTCCCTCTGCTGCTGCTGGTGTTGAAAGTTTGATCAATGAGTAGGAGACGGGAGGTTGGTAACAAGAGATATTATTGCTCTTAACAAAAAAATAACTAAAAAAATGGTATTGTTATCTCTTTAGCTTGTTCCTATAGGAATATTTAAAGATGGAATTACTTTTATGTATCGATTTGAGAAGCTATTAAATGCGCAATTACTCCTACCTCCTTACTGTAAGGTTTACTGCTATTGTTATTAATACAATTAATGGGACGATACTGATAACAATAGAACCTTAATCGCTTCCCTATACAGTATGCGTTTTGAGGTCTTGCTGACTTGTTTAAGCATTTAATTATATGCTATAAATTTATTAAAATTAAATATTGAAGTATATAAATGCTTTATCGAGTTAGAAGATGTAGTGTTTAAAATTTAATTGTGTTTATACTTGTTTTTTCCCTGAACTGATTTCTATTTACTTAATATTTATCATAAAACATGACATAATAATTGCAATTTTTGTGCCTTATATTTCACTCACTTTATGAACTTCACTATTAAGTGGTTAATTATTCTGTATAAATTTCGAATCATTTAATTGCAGTGAATAAATGTTAAAGACTAGAATTTCGGTTCTCAAATTCTTAAGACATATTAGTCATTAATTTTGTTGCAAAAATAAATCAAATAAGGTAACGAAATCATTGCTTCAAATATGAAATATTTCGTTCCGCATTTTGAAAATTTATTATTGATAAATTGTATACTTTTTTCTTGCTACATACAAGTACATCGTTCTCTGCTATTCATTTTAAGGGCCAAATAAGACGTTTCGTCCTTGTAAGCGACACAATTACTTCAGCTCGTCCCGAAATTTCGATTGATGTATGAATTCTCTTTCACTTTCTACCCGGTGAGTTTTTTCTTTTCTTTTCTTTCTTTTACTCCTTCAGTCGTGCTCCGCTGTCCCTTACAACCTTTCTTATCTTTTCCAAAATCTACCTGGCAACATGCTCACTCCTCCGTTTCACCTTTTTTTTAACTCATTGACCCTCTATTCTTTCAAAGTTATAAATTTGAATGCAGAGGAGCACGGAGCGCTTCGCTTAACAGAACATTTAAAAGTTTTATTATTCAAGATCCCTAACTATCGAAGAGACAAGGGAAGGAAAAAAGGTATAAACACTTCACCAATCTCATTTATTATAGTAAGCTTCTCGCGTATACGAATATTGATTGATTGAGAAGATAGAATTTCTGATTAAAAAATAAAACACAAAATTTAGATTTATTAATTATTGCCCCTATATAATTCCTAATAATGAATTATTTTGTTGGCTTTCGTGTTATATTAAAACGTTTTCATAAAGGTGAGACTTTCTAAAGATAGAATTGCTTAGGTGGAATAATATAAACTGTTTAAATTGCTCGAAGTAAAAATTCCTAAAGGACTCTAATTACTGAAGCAACATCAAATAACATCTTAACGTTATGAATAAATAAACTGTTTAAAGATTTATATATTTATTTTTCTTGCTTATTTTAAAATATCTCGCAAATTAATTTATTTTCTTCTCTCTTTCACGCCTCCTACTCTAAATACTAAGTTTAAAAAATTGAGAATATCTTGTCTGATAGAGCAGCATTCACTTGGAGGACTAAAGCGGATGTCTGCAGTTCTTTGTAATTACATCTGTCAGTTGCAAACACCGTTTCTTGGCAGAAAAATAAAACATTAAAGATTTTTGTCAACCTATCTCTAACCTCGATTTTTACTGCTTTGCTGCTATACATCTCTAAAACATTCTAAAAGGAGAAAGGGATACAAATAGGAACATAAAGAAGAAAAAAGAAATACACCAATCGACAGACTTTGTGATTTTCTTCAGATTTAAACTGAATCTTGTTATTTCGATAGAATGACCTCACCGGAGTTTTATCTAGATACAGAAGATTTATATCTATTTTAAATCTATAAAAATCTTCTTTTATGAAATTTAAAAAGAGAGAAAATTCAATTTATATAAAATTTCGCTATTTATAATAAGTTTATGGATATAAAAATTGTTAAATGAGTAAACAGTACAAAACTTCAAATACTTTTTCTGTTACGTGAATTTTGCTTAGAATAAAAATGTAAAAAGAACATCCTTTAATATGTATATTTATGTAGTATAAACTTTATTTAGGTTTAAGTTTATAATAAATGCATCGCGATTTCTTTAAAATAAAAAAAGAGTTAAGTCAAAAGGTAAAAAGGAAAAAATTTTATACTCGGATAGAGAATTTTCTTATCAATTTATGCTTGTAACGAGTTTTAGATTTTAAAAAAAACAATTTGTTTCTGACATATTCAAAAATTCGAGCTATCAAATTCCATTTTATTTAGTCGTCATTACTCCCGAAACATAACTTGGTTAACTAAAAACGTGATTCTAATGAACACAACAGTACTTTCTTATTAATTAAATATTAATTTAATACAATAAAAAAATAACGCTAATATTAAATTTAGTTTTATTTTAATTAAAATGGCTTAATTACAAGCGGGAGAAGATTAAAAAGGCTTTTAAAAAATGTAATTTTATGAATATTTTTTTTTCTCAATTTTGTATTAAAGAGTAATGACACCTCTTAATATTATCACATGAAAAATAATTATTTTAATTAGAATAGGAGAATGATAAATCTATAAAATTATCATGGCTTTATTTTTGCTATTTGCGTTATATAAATTGGAGAGAAAGCGTTAACTAAAGATGATCTTTTCTTTAATTATCTGGCTACATAACAGATATCAAAGGATAATCTAATCGACTCTTGTCTAAATTGAATAAGATGCTGATACTTTCAATTACAGCAATCACCCTATGGGTATGTTTTGCTAACTGAATAATTTCACAAATTTTATGAAATATCAATGAGATTCTGCCGACGCTTTCAAAGATTATACACACGCTTAGATTACTCTCGCGTAAAAATATGTAATAATAATTTCAAAATAGTACGTGCGATAACGCGGTACGTATGTCAAAATCGGACAGGTTTCTTGATACTTTCATGAATTTTGAGACCGAAACCAGAAATTTTGACTGACACCTTTTCAAGTAGAGCTTATAGACTTAAACTTCAAAAAACTGTCAACATTTCTTGTAGCGGGTTTGTTGATGCATTAAATCAATAAAAATTCAAAAAGAGGACGAATTTATGAATATGCATCAGACCTTTAATATTTTTAACGTTTCTGTACACGTTAACGTTACATTTGGTAACGTTTATACGTCCGCCTTATTATATAAAATTAAAATCGAGTGACATTTTATTTTAGTCTATTGTCTAATGGATAGCGGTTGTTTTCAGCAGTTAAAATCGTTATTGTTTCTAATTTCTGGTTGTCATCTTCTCTGAACAAACAATCCATTAACAGTTTTATTAATTGCTAAACAGAAGTACAATCTTCACTAAACCGTTCATTATTCAATTATCAAATGGATCCCGAAGTTAATAACTATAATGTGGCAAGTTATCGATTAGATAATATGTATATGCTATGCTAAATGATAATCTAGCATTTCCATAAAAAATTGCTGTCTCGTCCGGATCTGTCTAATTAATATGGATTATACATAATTCATCCAGGAGGATAAAAAGAAATAGAATTAATGAGATCAATGAATAATTAGCTATTCATTCTTATGAAGAGACTAAGAAGATACGATCGTCTAAATGTTTCTGTTTCTGTTAATGATAATTTAATTATTTTAAACTTTGCGTTTAAAAAAATATAATAATAATAAGCTTAACAATTAATAAATGATCAGTGTTGTTTATATTATATGATTGGAGGATTCTTTTTGGAATTTTAAAGCGTAAACAGTCTAGACGAGGGACTTACCTCGAACAAAACGATGTCACTCGTCTAACAAGCACGAGTGTTTTCCCGCCACAGCACATCCGTCTCTTCCCACTCCCAGTCTAATACAAGGATGTATTGGCGGGGGCGAATGGACCGCCCGGCCATTTGCGGGACCATCGGATCACGTGGAAACGACCTCCAATCGTATCCTTCCATTAATGACGTCAGCGGGAACCCTTCTTCGATCTGCAAGCACAAGTCAATTAAATAACTTTTAACACAATTGAGTGTAGGTATGGTCTTTCACCTTAAAAAAAAATGTTAACTTAACTATATTAAAACATTCTTAATGAAACTAAAAAGAACTTCATTCTTTAAAATTATTCAACTTTTGCTCTTTGCCTTTTGTTCTAAGTGAAGAAAAAAATGTTGTTTTTTTCCGCCGAATTTTAATATTTGAATGGGCCTTTTATCTAACTTTGTATCCAAATTATATTAGAAGTTCCGCCGTTTTTTAAAGCCGTAGATCGTGATCATGTAGACGACGGAGCTTTAAATTTAATTAATAATAAAAAAAAAATTCCGATTTTACTCGTTTAGATCTACTTTTTGACCATAGTCATTATTGATAATTGTTAGTTAATGGGCCCTATGCACCTTAATTGTATCGATCGTTAACGATAACAGCATTCACTATTCCAGTAATAGCGTCTTTATTACTCAATTAATTAATTCAACTGTGGTTTAATTTAATTGGAAATGTACAAATAAACGTTGAATTTTACCTCATGATTTGTTCAATTCTTTCATTAGAAAAAAACCTTGATGAAGAAGATTAATGATGCAAGAGATATATAAGAGGTAAAAAAGATAAATAAGCAACTGTAGGTTTGCTGATAACATGGTTCGTCCTGTGTTCAGACGTGTAATTGGAAGCGTAATAAATCAAGAAAGAACAACTTAACTGCAGGGCTCCTATGTGGTGAACGTGGGCCCGTATTATTCTTATGATTATAAATTTTTTTATTATGTCGAATATTTATGATACGTCTCAAAGAATTGTTTTAGCATTGTAACGAGATCATTAGTGAATGAGTTGGTAATTAACGAACATGGATAAAGTACAACAACGATACAAACTGTTATTGAAGTTTGGTAATATATTTTTGTTTTGGAACATTCCTGGTTAGATTCTCTGAATATTTCTTTGACATTTATACAGAAAATATCTCGATCATAAATGTGTTTTCATATCTTAGCAGGAATTTCTCTCATATTGAATTGGTCAATACTTTAATTTTATTTTATTTTTTGTATAATATTAATAAACGGATATTTATTGTTTTTATTAAAAAAAACATACCTAATATTTAATTAATGCCGCTTAACTTTTGCGACATTAAATTGTTTATCATCACCAGTTGTGTAGCCTTCCTTCATTGTTTGCTTTGTGTAGACTGGCGTTAAAAGGATAAAGACGTTTCCTAATAAATCTATAATCTTATTTATCAAGAAAATCACAACTTAAAATAGCATTTAACATTTTTTTTATCCTAACATCTTAGAGTGAACTATAAGTTAGGAATAAAAAATTAGGCAATATTCCTCTATTATTAATTACCTTTGACTCCACTCCATCAACCGGTCTTGACATCTACAGGAAAATATAGTCAAGCAAATATTTTCTATTAACGTTTTTCAAAGTGGATTTCTGAACTTCGGTGTATTGACACTTTAAAATCTTTCAGAAAATTTTAAACTTTCAATTACATATTTTCCTCTATAAAACTGCCACGTCTATAGTAAATAGAGTTCTATAAATGCATTTTAGTACTATATTTAAAATATCAAAAAAAATTCAAATTTAAAAGCAAATAATATACACAATATTAATTACATTTTTAAGAAGTTATAACAAATATTTAGAGCTTAAAAATACAGAAAAAACCAATAAAAAGTTTATTAGTAAATTGAACTAGTATTTCTTATTTGTGAGGTCTTTTCTAAAACCTTATATATATATATAAAATGTTTGTAATCTCTCGAGTCCTGATTTGATGAGTTCGAAAACAACTGAATTTATACTTTCATGAGTTCAAAACTTCCCAAGAGAAAAAAAAAATAGTTTTTTTTCGAAACTGGAAAAGTGAGAAATCACGTGATCCAGCCATTTTCCTCCCTCTTCACCCATACGATTAAATTCCTTCTCGCATCCTCAACAAATTATGAATTTTAATGCGCAAGAATAGCATTTGTGTTAATACGCAATTAATAGCGGGTAAAGGCGTGAATTGAACATAGGGTGGCACATTAAGAATGTTTTTTTTTTTTCGGTTTTTAATGGAAAATTTCAATTTATCAAATCCCATTTTGAAGAGAAAGGGGATGTGCGAGTTTTTCAATTTTATTCTCCTTAAAAGATATTTGAGAATATTTTTACGTTTGCTTTTATAAAGATATCATTGAACTAGAAGAGATTCATGACGTCAGTGACATATCTGAGGAATTCTAAAGGGAATACACGTAACGTTACTGTGACCACAGTTTTTGAGATTTTTTTTTCGTTTTTGGCAATGTCGTGGCTTAAGAAAAACGTATTTATTAAATTCTAACTTAGTAGTTCTTTTGATTTTTTTGTGGACATATATCAAAATAAAATTCGATATCCATGTTTTGGAAGAAAAATGTGTTTAGATATATCAAGCACGGCGCGTTACAACCTCACTCGCCCTCTTGATCGCATCAATAGTTGAGATGTTTATCAAACTTGGAATTTCTTTAAATATGAGGGAATTCGTTCTTGATCATTTTTAACTTTACATTGACGCAAATTAAACGGATTAAATTTTAAAAATCATGCTGGAATTGATATCCTTTTCTTTCATTTTGTATTATTATCATCCTATTCTGATAATGATTTTTATAACTTAGTTAAAATTAACTACGAATTTTTTCGTCTTAATTTTAAAAATGGATCTAGATAAAGTGAGAGCATAATTATCTTTAAAAAAGAGAGCGACAGTAATGGTTTTATATTCCTTGGAGGTTTTAATCCCAATAATAGAAATAGTAATGTTTTGAGCATAGAAAAATATCTGCTTCGAAGTAAAGTGGACAAAAATGTCACGCATTTCTAAAAAGATTTTTTCCCTTCAATGCATTAGCAGAAAATATAATTACCTGTAGAAGTTAATTGTAGTTATCAAACTTTAGTGGGACAGGATTACTGAGGTGAAAGAAATATCTTTTTTATAAACTTCTAGTTAATAACACTGGTTGAGTTATTATCCAAGTTTTCTGATGATTAAAATCTTTCAACGTGTTTCTATAGTCAAGAAATAAAGCAATTCATTTTAAAAAAATCTCTGAAAGAAAGTAATTATATAAGTTTTTATTGTGTACAATGTTTACTTATTAAATGAAACTTCTATTTTTCAATCAATACATTCCTGATTTAGCTTTTTTCCCATTTTCTTGTCGAGTGACATAATCTAAAAATTGCAAGTTTATTTTATTATAAATTTAATTTCAGCCACGCTGCACTTCAAAAGTCCTTTGAAAACATGATGAAGTCTCTTATTAAACATGGTTTGTTTCTGTATAAAAATGATATCAAATTGAAAATCCATCGGTTAAAAACGAGAGAAAGTCATTCACCAGTTTCAAAAACACGTATAATCCTTTCGTAGAAATTAAATTTATGCATTTTATTTATTTTAGTGTATGAAATGATAATCAATAATTTAAAAAATACAATACAATTTTTCCAACCATTTCATGAAATTAGAATAATTGAAGAAGAAATAATTTACTATTCTTTAAATTAATAAAAATAACCTAATTATAAATTCTAATTATAAAAAGGATTTTTTTGTAAAGCAAATATATTTCAGTACTTTATTTGATTTATTTTTTGAGTTTAAATTTTTAAAAATTTCTAAAATATAATTAAGTACTTTATGATAATTTTTTTACTTCTACTAAGGTCCTTCTACTAAAATTGTAATTTATGTGGTCTAGTTGAAAAAGTCTTTTTAATAATCGTATTAAAGTCGTAAAGGAATTTTCTCCTTTTAAAATTGTGATTTTGTAGACATTACTGATGACTAAAACAATTAAAATCAACAAGAAAAAAAAGTAAAATTGTGTCACTTGAAACGAACATTTCATATCTTTAAATGATCATAAGAAAAATATCATAACATTTTTTTAAAAAGCAACTTTTTTTGTAGCAAATTATAAAACTTCCATTCCAAAAATGAAGAGTTGACCATTGATTGTGCCATACTTTAGAAGACAAATGGGTTGTTGAGTAGATAAAAGCATTTTTATGATGAATTATTTTGGTTTAAACTCAAAATAACATTCCTTTCATAACAGGATAAAACATATAAAAGACAAGAAGTTTTTTTTATTTTTTTCAATAAAATAAACGTAATATTTAATAAATAAATAATAATTTTAAATGTGTAGATTTATTATTTTTTAAATTATAGACATTATAGAAAATAATTTAAATAGAAAAGTTTTATTTCATGTCCTTCTTACGGAGAATAAAATTAATATACATAGGCTATATATCAAATCGGAAAAAAATATAAAACTTTATTTTTGTTCAAGAAATTTGTGAGAAAAATTTATTTTAAGGATTTTATATGTCGTATGTATTAACTAAATAAAAATAAATTTATAAGAAATTTTAATGTTAAAAGAAATAAATATCATATGTAATAAATACGAATAAATAAATCTATATTTAAAACGAATTTTTCGTTATATTTAAATTTCAAATTAAATGGATAATGTATATTTGATCGTAATAAAGCCTACAATAACATATTTTATGGAGACAAATTTATTTTTCTGTGAATTATATAAGTAAAGCATTACATTTATAGAGATTAGATGCATTATTTTGAAAGAAAAATATTTATTTTGTTAAGCTGTTCTTTTAATATATTAGATAAATTTTTTGATATAAAATCTTTTATATGATATATTTAAACGTTTATAACTTTATTAATGTATTTTTTTATATATATGAAATTTGATTTTAGTAAAGGAACAAGGCTTAAAGAAGTTTAAGCATTTACAAGTAGAGTCTTCCAGAGATCAAAAGAGGCCAGAGCCTTTTGAATTTGAATGACTTTTTTGAATGAGTACAATATATTTAAAAAAAATGAAAATGTTATTTAAAAATTGTATTATAGTTTTTAAATAATAAAATATGACAAAAAATAAAAATGATTTTTCTTAATACACACAAAAAATGCAATAGAATTGCTAATTTGAAATAAAATTATAAATGTTTTGAGGTCTCTGTAGAAGAAAGGCTCAACCGAATAGTCCTATTAACCCCACGATAGGTCAATGGGACCATTCGGTTGAATCTTTCTTCTTTAAATCATAAGAAGCCGCTTCCCTTTCTAAGACCTCCGGTGTATTAAAAGCAAAACACTACAAGTTTACCGTACAAAAAATATAATAAAATGAATAATTTCTCACAATGTTACTAAGGCCCAGACAAATGTGAAGCCCCAGTCAAATTGAGCCACGTGACAGGGCCTGTTTTTAAATTTGTTAACTAATTTAATATATAAGACGACCCGACATTAAGCAATCTTATTATTTGCAAGAAAATCAGCAAATTGTGAAAGTGTGCCATGATATTGTATCGAGAATTTCTTCCAAATTTGTAAATAATCAAGTATAGTAAACCTCGATTTAACGAACAGACTTTCTGATTCGTACTTCTTACGTGAAAATTAACACTACGTTAACTATAAAATGCTTTTTATGAGTAATTAAATTAACAGGTTATTAATTTCTTTTTCAAATCTAACCACCATTGAGCATTATTTCTTTCATGAGCATTATTTCTTTTATGAGCATTATTTTTTTTTGTTTACTTAAACAAAATTAAAGTATATTTTCCGTAAAATGTTTGTTTATTTATTTACTTCGATTTAGATCGTATATACGTTTATTACAGTCTCAGAACTACGGCGAGTACGTAATCAATAATACACATAGAAAACTTTACCGTGGAATTAAACTTCTCATACGTACTTAACTTTAATCACACAAACGTATTTACATAGCCTAAATAAAAGCGGATAAACCAACTGATTTATCAATTTTCTTTTACAAAACTTTAAATTCGTAAAACTTACTTTATTATATAGTCTGACGTACTGTACTTTTGGCTTTCATGGATACCTCCTCGCCCGAATAATACGTTAAATCGAGGTTTTACTATATTTGAATAACACAAAAATATAGTCTAAAGATTAAATTCCCGCGTTATTCAAAATACAAAGTGGTCCAAAAATCAGTTAACTATCTAAAGTTTTACAATGGTTAACTGACTTTTGGGCTATAGTGCATTTACTTTTTTAAAAGTATTTTTTCTTTTGTGTTTTTATTAGCCACGGAAAAGATATTTTAAAAGTGGAATTTCTTTCTTTTTTTAAAGAATAATAATGATATGAATTTAATGAAAATTTATAAGCGCTTAATTTATCAATATTACCTTTCTAAATTTGAAAATTCTGTGATGTTTTCGACAGAAAAAAAAGCTTCAAACTTCCAATATATTTGTCAAAATTTCGAGATAATAACTTTGACAATTACAAAAATGACGTCTTCGAAGGAAGATACAATTTAGGCCTAACAGAAAAAAAAAAAATCCACAAAAATCAATAAATCCGAACTGTAATAACACATTCATTATAACTAAAGAAAGATATTAAATGTAATAAATTCGTTCGTAACATTATTTAAATTACCTTTTTTCTTTGTTTTTTTTTTTCTTTACTTAAAGATGAGATTTTTGAAAATCCCAAATTCTCCCATCGCCTAATGACGTCACCAAGCCGGAAAGTAAATTGTAAAGCAGACGACAAAACTATTTCCGCTTTGATATTTTTAAGTTGGATTTTCTAGAATTTTCTATTACATAAAATTTTATCTGAAGTTTTTCCCCCCTTACTTTTATTATTATTATTACTTTTTTCGGTAAGAAAATAAATGAAGCGATATTAATTCGTAAGAAGTAATAATGATGCATCTACCGGAAAAAGAATCAAACCAGACGTCGTCCAATCGGTATTGGTTTTTGTATTTATTTGATAAATTACCAGAAAATCGGTAAATTTTGTTTCTCTTTTTTTTTCTGAAAAAGCAGACGATAAGACAGATTAGTGACGTCATTGATAAATATGGCGGGAAGGTAAGCGGAGAATTTTATTTATTCGTTTTTATTGCCATTTTTTAAAAAAAAATTAATTTATAATTTTTCTACTTATAATTATATTTCTTCTATTAATGCACTTTTAGGTAAATTATTCAAATTAAAAGGAATTTAAATGATTGAAAAATGTATTTCGAGAGAAATTTCTGGAAGAAGAGTCGTCTGCTTTCATTTCTTCTCAGGTTTTAATATATTTATATTCTTATAAATGTAATTAACTTTATAATTTAAATATGATAATTTATAGGATGGTCTTTATTAAATTTCAAAACAAATGATCCAATATTTTATCATATTGAATTTATGAAATTCGTGAATGTTTTAATTTGAGTAGCGCGTTTTTCCCCGGGCAAAAAGGGGCCCGGGGACCCCACCAGCAGGAGACTCCAAACAATCCTCCCTTGAAGAAAACTGTCTGAAGTCAACACTATACGCGGGAGACCCTTAATTCAAATACGCCCCGGGCTTCGCGAAGCTCTGTATTCTTCGAGGATTGATCCCCAGGATCTTCGTAAATACCAAAAATCCGCAGATGCTCGAGTCCCTTATATAAAATGGCGCAGTATTCGCATATAACGTAGGCACATTCTCCCATATACTTTAATTCATATCTAGATTATTTATAACAGTTTTCCAACTGCCGATTCGCAGAAAAATATCTGACTGTACTGACACTAGCACAGTTGATTACGGGTGACATTTTAAATAGTAATCTAGTTACTGTACGTACTTTGTTACGTAACTATAGTTATTGTACTTAACATATACAGTAACTCTAGATACTCCTATATAAACGTAATAAATAAGCATAATTCATAGTCACATATACTTACTGGTCGACGCAAAACTATCCATAATTTTACCGGTCGGCGATGAGAAAAAGGTTGAGAAACACTGGTTTATAATACTTAACATGATGTAAATGCTATGTAAATAGTTGTTATACTGTGTAGTTTAGGTAATAACGACAAGAAAAAGTTTAATGTTTAGTATACACGCAATCATAATAGGTGTAGTACAGGTTAGCTTGGACGTAACATTTTATTTCTTTCAAAACTTAAAGATTGTTTTCGCTTAATTACCTGAAAGAAAAATACATAGAATATTTAAAATATAAGCAAATTCAAGATTTGCTTTATAAAACTTTCTGAAATTTATTTATTTATTTATTTTTGGAATATTTTCGATCCGTGGTCGGTTGAATCCGCATATACAAGATGATCGACTGTAGTCACTCGCATGTTAATATTAGATTCGCGAATTACATGAATCCAATATTCTAATTATTTATGAAAGAGTAGCTCTTGATAATTGTGGCTTTCGAAAAAATTACTACATAAGTTTTATTAAATATGGGTTTCGTTTTAACATTAATTCTATATAATAATATAATAATATAAAAAGAGTTTCACAATTAAATTTTTAAAACCTTTAATAAAATTACACATAAATTACTTTCTCGTTTAAATATATTTGTTTAAAGTTTGGATATGCATCAAAGAATTAGATATATATAACCATTCACGTTTATGTTAACGCTAGAAAATACTGCGGTAACGTTAAACATTAATTAATTAAAATTGACTAAAATTAATAAAAACATATAAAAAGTAAGTATCAAAGTATTTTTTAAATGATGCAAAGCGAATATTTTCAAGAATATAACTAAAATATAGGGAATTTAATTGTGATAACGAGTGATTGAAAGGTTAATAATTTAAAAGACTCATTTAACTTTGGTAATTTTTTCGTTTCTAAACGTTATTATGCTTTTAATTATGATATTTATGATAGCGTTAATATCATAGTTACATATATACGCCCGTTAAATACCATTTATATCAGGCCCGTGAGCAGGATTTTTAAAAGGGTGGAGTTTAAACATTACTTTTTCATAACATAGTTTATTAATTTTTACAATATAGGTATATAGGCCTAGAATAATACACACAGTAGACTAAGAAAGAACTGAACGGATACAACGTAAATATCTTATACAATAGACTGTTTTATAATAGTATTTTTCTGTTTGACTTATCAAATAGGAAGGATTAAATTTCCAAACTCTCCTCGTGTACATGACCTCGATTTATATAGCTTGATAAACAATTATTCATAATACTCGATGCCTGGACAAATAGACTAAAAATTCATGATCCATAAATAAATTTATTTTATGTACCTAAAATGAAAACTACTGTCGTTTTATACGGTTTTATTTGGTAAATCACTTACCTGATATTTACTTTTGCTTTTTATTAATAATAAAATGTACACGTGAAATTCATTTACTATTTCTTCATATTAGACAGTTATAGAAAGAATGCTGAGAAATTATTCATCAGGGTCGAATATATCAAAAATAGCAACATTCAATAAATAAATAAATAAAATCACGCTTTTTTATTTATTTCTTCTTCTTTTGTCGTCATTCTGCGAAAATACGGTATTTATGTAAGATAATTTAAATTGAATAACTTAAGGGAAAATTCATGCAAGAGCATTATAAAATATTTGCCATATATCTCGTTTGGCATTTTCTAGTTATTAACATTTGGCAAGAATATATTATAAATTATTTATAATTATAACAAGAGAATAAATTTAAAACTTGCTTTCAAAAAATTTCCAATGATATCAGTTGTTTACCTTACTTAAATTCATAGATAAAATGGACACAAATCAATAACAAAATACCGTTAAGGAATTTTATCTAAAAATAATTTGGAACTTTTAAATTAATTATTAAACGTAACAAACTGGAAAATTATTTGCAGGAAGAATTTTGAAATAATTTTATCAATAATTATAGTAATTTTCCGAAAGAATTAATGTTTCTATCAATAATATTTGATTATTCAAAGTTAATTTTATTAAAAGTTTTAATTTTAACCCTACATAAGTATATATAAAACGAATATTATATAGTTTAAAGCCAGTTTAATATTATAACACGTATCACTACTGCTAAAATTAAATTTTCATTATCTTCAAATATTAAATAAGCACGGTATTATTGCATCGCATTTTACAAGCAATTAGAAATTCAGTTAATAATTGAGAAAATTTATAAAATATCCTAACGAAAATATATAAATGATTTATTTATGATGATGAAAGATGACTTAAACTTAGATATTTTTACTATTTTTCTGAAATTTCAAGAGGAATATTTAATTTTTATAGTTAATGTAAAAATATGCATAGCTTCTTGAAGAAATAAATTTACATTTAGTATATAGCCTAGTATATAGTTCTCATTAATAAAATACTCGCTAATAATCTGTTTTTACACTCGAATACTATCTTACTATTAATATGATATAGAATTTGCATTAATTTAAAACATAATCTAATGCATTATTCTCAAGAATAATCATGCAATTCTGTTATTACACTTTACAGGTATGATGATTGCTTATTTTTATGTTTAAATAGTAGTAGATTTTCCCGATCTTTGACGATATCTCGAATAATTTTATATTATAAATATATTCTTATATATATATACTTTTCATTTCCGATGTTTTCTTATTTGTATGACATCTTGTTCGGCCAAGTATGTCAATTCAATAGATGTAGTATACAGACAGCATTTGGGCGTTCAAACCAAATTGACAACCAAATAAAATGTCAAAGCTGTTGGTAGATAAGCAGAATTTATTTATTATTATTATTATTATTAAACGGGTCCTCTTCGAGAAAAATCTCTATTTGCTGTATACCATATATTGTTCTGAAACTATATCTCAACATGTTTTTAGAAGAATTTCTCGTGTTTAGAATTAATATCAAATAATTGTTTTAAAAAATATTATGAAATTTATTTAATAATATATTACGTAGTAAAATAATAACTTAAAAGTACAAGTCGAAAATTAAATAACAGATATATAAGAAAATTAAATTATCTATATAATTTTAAGAAATGGTTTTATTTATATCAACAATTTTGATATTATTTTATGCATTTATTTATTTGTTTTTATTTTTGGAATTTTTTTAAATTACTAATGATGAGTTTAAATTATGTAACTTTTCGAATTACTTATATAAATGTGTTTTGATGGGAAATGTTCTTAAAATTTCAAGAATGTTCTTTAACGTAATTCTGAGTAAATAGCTTCATAGGAACAGCGATGTCAACTCTACAAATTAATTATTTTGAATTAATTTAATAATCAGAAAGAGAAAAATATTATATTTAACCTTAATGTTTATTCTTATAACAATGTTATAGAAACAGCAATTTTTTTTTCTTTTTAATTTTGGTAGCCGATAATAATTCTGTAGACGTTTCCATTATTTTATGAAAATTGTCGAAGCAAAAAATTAAAAAGAATGTTAGTTTTATTTAATTCATCACTCATCAATAAGAAAACATAAAAATCACTTCATTTAATATATTTTCTTGTGGAAGAAAAAAATTGATTAAAAAAAAATAGCTGACTAGTTGAAATTTTGAAAAAAAATCAAGATACATTCGTATAATAAATTTCTTTAGATTTTGTTCGTGTGGAAAACACATTTTCATTCGGAGATTTTCTATTTTTTATATATATGTAACGGAAAATAGTTTTATTTTATTCGAAACAAAGAATTCGCCGCCATAAATAAAAGAATAAAACAAAA